CAGAAGACTCTTATTCATCCTAAACATGGAAACAGATTAAGTGACCATAAATGATCTTTTCCATAAAATTATGGAGCCTCAAAGATAATTTAATTCAACCCCCTTATTTTTACAGAAAAGAAAGCAGGATAAGTGATTTACCTGAGATCATACAGATAGTTAGAGCCAAGGGCCCCCATCTCTTAGTCTATTTTTTACTGCACAGATGTCAAATAATTGCTTTTTTGCCCTTGGGTTGTTTGTATCAGCTCTGGATCAGTACGTATTAATCTTTAGGAAAAAAATACAAGCAAAAAACACTCTCCAAGGGCCATCATTAAAACTGCCTCTCTAGAGGAATGGTTCCACTTGTGGTTCTTTCTTCTTTGGAGCAGAGGGGAGAAACAAATGATTCTAAAGTAAAAAAAAAAAAAATGAAATCAAGCCCCCTACTGTGTCTTGTACTATAAAGCTAATACTGTCTCAAGGAATAACCACCATTTCACCACTCACATGTCCTGGGATTTCACCCCTGCTGTTTTCACAGAACTATCTCAAACATCATTTGGCAACTCAGAAAGTTTATTATTTACTGCCTAAGACATTATAGATTTTGGTTACCTTGTTCTTTGTTGATTTATTAGTTTTTTTGTTTGACAAATACTTAGGAATGCTTACAATGTACCTGGCATTGTTTTAGGCCCTGGGGTACATTGGTGAATACAAAAAGGTCCCTTGCTTGTGGGACTTAGATTTGGGGGGTGAGGGACACAGAAAATAAATGATCAAGTAACGTTAGATGTTGAAAGTGCTGTGGAGAAAATTAAGTAGACCTAAGACATAGGGAATGCCAGGAATGCATGTGTGTACATATGTTGTTTTCTTTAGGATGGGCAGGATAAATCTTTATAATAAGGTGACATTTGAGCAAAGACATGAAGCAAATGAAGGAGCAAACCCTGAGGGTACCTGGGGAAAGAGCATTGTAGGTAGAAAAAGCAGCAGGTATAAAGGTGAGTTTGTGTTTGGCACTTTTGAGTAATCTGGAACTGAGTGAGCAAGGAGGAGATGGGGAGATGAGGACAGAGATGGGGTGAGAAGCAGATCATGTAAGACTTCGGTGGCATTTGTAAGGACTTGTCGTTTACACTGAGTGAGAAGGATAGCCCTGAACAACACAATCTTATTTTTTCTTCTTTTTAAAAATTGAGGTAAGTCATCATTTCTTAGAGTCTTTATTTTTTTTATTTTTATTTATTTCATCATATTATGGAGGTACAAATATTGTTAGGGTTACAAATATTGCCCCTGCCCCCCCTCCCTCCCCCCAATGTGTCCAAACCCCCGGTGGTGTGCATCACACACGTTATGGAAGCATACACCCCTCTCCTCCTCCCCCCTACCACCTGCCCACCACCCGATAAAAAGTTTTGTTTTGATTTTTTTTTTGACATTTTGGTTACATTGTATATCTTTGCCTCTCCCTAAGAAGGGTTAGAGTTATACCCTTCCCTTCCAAAATACTCGCCACTTCCCTAAGATTGGGTCCCCCCCCCGAATCCCTGGTGAGCATTGCCACCATTTGAAAACCATAGTTTTAATCAGTCAGTACAATTTGTGGCGAGTAGATGTAGGGCCATTTTCCATGTCTTGTGTTGCCTCACATTGGATAACGGGCTTAAACTTAATCCAGGATAACATAAATGGTGCTAGCTCACCGTCATTTCTTAGGATTAAGTAATATTCCATTGTGAGGATATACCAAATTTTAATTATCCACTCATGAATTGATGGGCTCTTGGGTTGCTTCCATGACCGTGCAATAGTGAATTGTGCTGCTATAAACATTCGGGTACAGATGTCTTTATAATAGAATGTCTTATGCTCTTTTGGGTAGATGCCCAACAATGCTATCGCAGGGTTGAATGGTATTTCTATTTCTAGCTGTTTGAGGTATCTCCAAATTGTTTTCCACAAAGGTTGCACTAATTTGCAGTCCCACCAGCAGTGTAGGAGTGTTCCTGTCTCTCCACATCCTCACCAGCATTTGTTGTTTTGGGATTTCTTGATATAGGCCATTCTTATTGGGGCTAGGTGGGATCTCATTGTGGTTTTGATTTGCATTTATCTAATAATTAGAGAAGTTGAGCATTTCTTTATATGTTTGCATGCCATTATTCTGTCTTCTTTGGAGAAGTTTCTTTTCATTTCTGTCGCCCATGTCTTGGTGGGATTGTTTGCTTTTTTCTTGTTAATTCTTTTAAGTTCTTTGATAACAAATAAAATTTTCTTTTTATTTAAAAAAAAATCGAGGTAAAATTCACATAGCTTACAATAATCATTTTAACAATTTTAAAGTGTACAATTCTATGGCCATTAGTACTTTCAGAATATCATGCAACCGTCACCACTCTCTGATTTCAGAACATTTTCATCATTTCCAAAAGACACCCTACCCATTAAGCAGTCACCGTCCATTTCTCCTAGCCTCTAGTCTGCTTTCTGTCTCTTTGGATTTGCCAATTCTGGACATTTCATATAAATGCAGCCATACAATATGTGGCCTTTTTTGTCTGGATTGTTTCACTTAATATAATGTTTACAAATATAATGTTTTCAAGGTTCCACCATGTTGCAGCATGTGTTAATATCAGAACTTAAATCCGTTCAATGGATGAATAATATTCCATTATATGGATATACCACATTTTGTTTATCTAGTCATCCACTGATGGGCATTTGGGTTATTTCCACCTTTTGGCTATTGGGAATAATGGTGCTATGAACATTCATGTAGAAGTTTTTGTGTGGACATATGTTTTTCATTTCTCTTGGATATGTACCTAGGAGTGGAATTTCTGGGTCTTATGGTAATTTTATGTCTGCTTTGTATTTTAAAGGCTCATTGTAGCTGTTGTGTTGTGGACAGATTGTATGGGGACAAGGAAAGAAGCAGGGAGATTTGTTAGGAGGCTATTGCAATCATCCAGGAGCTAGATGATGGACCAGCATAATGACAGTGGAGGGAGTGAGAGTGGATCAGATTTTAGATATACATTGAAGTTAGAGCCAAGAGGATTTGCTGACAGATTTAATTTGTATTGTGAGAGAAGAGAGGAGTCAAGGATGATTTTTTTAAGATTTTTTTACCTGAGAAATGAAAGGGGAGGGAGTTGCCATTTGATGAGATTGAGGGAAGAGCACATTTAGGGGAGGATTAGGGCTTTTGTTTTGGATTTGCTGTGTTTGACACATGCAAGTGGAGACATCAAGTAAGCCATTGGAAAAACAAATTTGAGTAAGAGATAAATTTGAGTTATTAGTTTATAGAGGATATTTAAAGCCATGAGACTAGATGAGATCATTGAGGGATAATTCTAGAAAGAGAAGAGAAGCAGCCTTAAGGAAGAAGCCCAGAGACAATCCAGAGATTAGAGGTCTGGGAGAGGAGGAGGGACCAGCAAACGAGACAGAGAAGGAGCAGCCAGTGAGGTTGGAGGAGGATACCAGGAGAGTGTGGTGTCAAGGGATATTATTTGAAATGCTTTCGGAAGAATAACTTTTTATTTTTCCTGCTACTCTCACCAACTCTTTGAGATAAGGGGCCCAGCAACAGTGTCCTTCCCTTTAGATATGAAAACTGCCATTTTGAATGCCCAGGTTTATCCTTCATTAAGGCAATTAAGCTAAAAAGAATTCTGGTTTTTCTGAATACTATCTTCCAGACATACTGCTTATTTATGGATATATCTAAGCCCCACTGAGGGCATTTATGCAAGAATTCAGTCACCAAATATTTGAGTGCCTACTCTACGCTAGTTTCTCTTCTAGGCATTGGAAACACAACAGTGAACAAGCTATGTGGTCACTGATCTCATGGAACTTATCTAATAGAGGCAAAAGACATTAAATAATTTGCTTAAATTATTGAACAAATTAAATAATTTGCTTAAGAGCCATAAACAAATAGATATGTGGTGACTGCTACCAAAAAATCAGGATGCTTTTTTTTTTTTTTTTTTTTTTTTTTTTGAGACAGAGTCTCACTCTCTTGCCTGGACTAGAGTGCCATGGCGTGGAGTCAGCCTAGCTCACAGCAACCTAAAACTCCTGGGTTTCAGAGATCCTCCTGCCTCAGCCTCCTGGTAGCTGGGACTACAGGCATGTGCCACTGTGCCTGGCTAATTTTTTCTATTTTTAGATATTTGGCTAATTTCTTTCTATTTATAGTAGAGACAGGGTCTCTCTGTTGCTCAGGCTGGTCTCGAACTCCTGAGTTCAAGCAGTTCTCCCGACCCAGCCTCCCAAAGTGCTAGGATTACTGGCGTGAGCCACCTCGCCTGGCCGAAATCAGGATACTTTGGGAGCATATAGGAAGATCCCTAATCCAGACTTGGCGTGGGAGCGTGGTCGGAGAGATCTGGAGGAATTGATATATAAAGAGAGACCTAAAGAAGCAGTGGATTTAGCCAGGTGAAGAAAAGTAGCTATTTTGAAGAGAACATTCTAGGAAGAGAAATAGAGAAGAGGGAGAGCTTTGGGATATTCAGGGAACCAAAAGAACTTCATCCTTCTGAAATGTAAAGTATGAGGAGGCATGGAGGGTGAAGGATGAGTCTGGAGAGCTGAGCAGGAGCCAAATCATAAGGATTTTCTTATTAAGGAGTTTGAACTCAATTCCAACAGTAGTGGGGAATCACTGAAGAGTTTTAAAAGTGTACTCAGCTGGGCACAGTGGTATACACCCGTAGTCCCAGTTACTCAGAAGGCTAAGGCAGGAGGATCGCTTGAGCCCAGGAGTTCCAGGCTATAGTATGCTATCATGGCACCTGTGAATAGCTACTGCACTGTAGCCTGGGCAACATAGCAAGACCCATTTCTAAAAATAAATAAATACTTTTTTAAAAAAGTGTACTCTATTTTAGAAAGCTCACTCAGGCTACCATTGTTGGTAGGAAGGAGGCCTGACTAGCAGGATAGCCCACTTCCTTTAAATTGCTGGTTCTTGGTTTTTATCCTAGTGTGCCATTCGAAGTGCCAAAGCTGAAAAGTGGAAAGAGTGCACTAGAGGCTGAGAGTGAGAGTCTGGAGAGTTTCACAGCTGACTCCGATAACACCTCCAGGTGAGTTTCCCCGCATTTCCTTCACCTCCGCTCAACCCAAGTTCCTGTTTTGTTTTCTAGCATCAGGATGCAGGGCTTCTGTGTCTTCAGTGTTCCTGATTTCTGTCCTCAGAAAACTGAATGAAGTATTTTCTCTGACCTCACCAGAAGTCATTCTGTAGCACTTCTACTGATTTGGCTCTGAGCGCAGAGCATGTTGACTTCCCCAGGCTGCTGCACCTTGGAGGATTCTTCCTAGTCCAGAAGCAACTATTGCTGCTATCCCTTAGGAATGGGGGTGTGAGTGTTTGTGTCTGTGCAAAGTTGTCTATCTGATCTTCTGCATTTCTTCAAGGTAAATCAGATGTGAAGTGTATCTTCTAGATTTGGTTACTACGATGATCCTAAGCCAGTGGCTCTCCTTCTGTAGAACTTTGGTCCCTGGGCAGAAGTGGAAGGGGAGGAGGTAACATAGTTATAACTTTCGAATCTACCTCCAGGAGAGACTCTCTGGATAAATCTGGCCTCTTTCCAGAATGGAAGAAGATGTCTGCCCCCAAATCTCAAGTAGAAAAGGTAAGCCTCAGGTGATTGGTCAGTCTGCCTACCTGTGTGTCTTCCCTCCCTCCTTCCTTTTCTTCCCTTCCCTTCCTTCCTTTCCTCCCCTCCTTTCTCTCCCTCCTCTCCCCTTTCTCTCCCTTTTCTTTTCTCTTCCTCCTCTCCCCTTCCTCTCCTCTCCTCTCCTCTCCTCTCCTCTTTCTTCTTCCTTCCCAAGCAGAATTTATTTATTTTTCTTTTCTTGTTTTAAATTAATTTATTTATTTCAGAATATTATGGGGTACAAATGTTTAGGTTACATATATTGCCTTTGCTCCACCCAAGCCAGAGCTTCAAACATGTCCATCCCCCAGACGGTGTGCACCGCACCCATTAGATGTGACTATACCCATCCTTTCCTCCCCCTCCCACCTGCCCGACACCTGATGAATGTTATTACTATATGTGCACTTAAGTGTTGATCAGTTAAAACCAATTTAATGGTGAGTACATGTGGTGCTTGTTTTTCTATTCTTAGAATACTTCACTTAGTAGAATGGGTTCCAGCTCTATCCAGGATAATACAAGAGGTACTAGATCACCATTGTTTTTTGTGGCTGAGTAGAACTTCATGGTATACATATACCACATTTTATTAATCCACTCATGTGTTGATGGGTATTTGGGTTGTTTCCACATCTTTGTAATTGTAAATTGTGCTGCTATAAACATTTGAGTGCAGATGTCTTTTGTATATAATGTCTTTTTTTCTAAGAAGAACTTAAATCAGGAATTCAACTAAACAAATTTCAGTTCAGATTCACTTGAGAACATTTTCTAAGGTTTTGGTAGAAATACGTGAGAGAATAGATTTTATACTACTACTAGGAATTTAAGTTTGTCATAGTTTGGCGAAAATCTGAGCCTTATTCTTCTTAAGGCTGTCCTTCCTTACTCACTCCTTCCACCTACCCATCTGTCCTTTTTCCATTTCCTTGCCCTGTTCCTTCCTAGGAAACTCAGCCTGGGGGTCAAAATGTGGTATCTGTCGATGAGGGTGAAATGATATTCAAGAAGAACACCAGAAAAATCCTCAGGCCTTCAGGTAGCTGGTTTCCCTTCATGGCTTTTTGGGACTGAAGTTCTGAGTACACTTAATGGGCTCTTGGTATTAAGGATAGGTCTCTTTTGACTTGAGTTTTTGTTCTTCCACTCAGAATACACTAAATCTGTGATAGATCTTCGCCCAGAGGATGTGGGGCATGAAAGTGGCTCCTTGGGAGACAGAAGCAAATCTGTCCCAGGCCTCAGTGTGGATATGGTGAGTGCCCTTGTATTTCATTTGGTCACTGTATGAAATTTTATTTATCTAGAATTGGCTTTAGTACCTGATATTCTCAATCAACCTGTTTAATTCTTTAGGAAAAGGCAGCATGAATCTTGATTCCCCCAAATTTCTAAAGTACATCCGTTTCCTGATTGGCTTAAAGGGAAGGACTGTCTTTGCTATCTCTTTTATTTTCTAATGGATTACTGGATAATCCTATTATCCAGTAATAGTAATCTATTATCCAGTTGGGGTCTCAAATAAATACTTCTGTTGATTAAAATATAAGGAGATAGCTGGGTTAGGGCAGTCAAATGGGAAAGAGTTTTATTAAGTCATTAAATATGAAATGTCTGATTTCAAATCAAAAGTGCAGTTTATTATATCACAAACAAGAAAACTGTCAACACAGTTTTTCCATCTTAACAGTAGCTTGTTTATGCCAGCAGTGAAGATGACTGGAGAGCGAGTGGTGATGAAATGGCCAAAGGCGTTTTCCACAGCTTGTTGAGAATTGAATATTTTTCCTTGCAAGAAGTGGTCCAAAGCCTGCAAGAAGTAGTAGTCAGGTGGTGCAAGGTCTGGTGAATACAGTGGATGATAGAGAGTTTCCAAGTCCAGCTTCTGTAGTTTGAGCAGTGTTGTTTGTGCAACATGTGGTCCAGTGTTGTCTTACAAGAGGACTGGCCTGTCTCTATTGACCAATCTCGGCTGCTTAATCACAAGCGTCCTCATCATTTCATCCAATTGGTTGCAGTACACATCTGCTATAATCAACTGACCAGGTTTCATGAAGCTATAGTGGATAATACCAGCGCTGGACAACCAAACACACACCATTAGGTTTTTTTTTTATGAATATTTGCTTTTGGACTGTGTTTTGACACTTTGTCTTTATCCAACCATTGTGCCAAATGCTCGCGATCATCAAAAAGAATCCATTTTTCATCACACATAACAATATGCTGTAGAAATGGTTTGCCTTTATGTTGTGACAGCAAAGAAAGGCAACCTTTGAGACAATATTTCTTCTGACGCTCATTTAATTTATGTGGTCACCCATCTATCCAGCTTCTTTACCTGGCTGGTTTGTTTCAAATGGTCCAATATTGTTGCAATAGTAACACCAAACCTTGATGTTAATTCATGCATCTGTTGAGAGATGGATTCACTTCCATTACAGCTTTTATTTCATCATTATCCACCTGGGTCTCAGGTCACCCACATAGCTTATTTTCAAGATTAAAATCAACAGAAAGGGCCGGGCGCGGTGGCTCACGCCTGTAATCCTAGCACTCTGGGAGGCCGAGGTGGGAGGATCGCTCAAAGTCAGGAGTTCGAGACCAGCCTGAGCAAGAGCTAGACCCCGTCTCTACTAAAAATAGAAAGAAAATTAATTGACCAACTAAAATATATAGAAAAAAATTAGCCAGGCATGGTGGCACATGCCTGTAGTCCCAGCTACTCGGGAGGCTGAGGCAGGAGGATTGCTTAAGCCCAGGAGTTTGAGGTTGCTGTGAGCTAGGCTGACACCAAGGCACTCCAGCCAGGGCAACAGAGTGAGACTCTGTCTCAAAAAAAAAAAAAAATCAACAGAAGGGGACCTCTCAAACCATCAACGTACTGTGTGTTCATTAGCCACATCCTTCCCAAACACTTCGTTGATATTTTGAGCTGTCTGAGCTGCATTGGTTCCACAATGGAACTCATATTTGAAAATAACATGAATTTTTGACTTATCCATGGTTTCACAAAAATTGCTCTAAAAAATATGAAAGATAATCATGAGCCAAAACGTGCGTTTAAAAGAGTGAGGATGTACCTTCACAATAAACAAGAAGTGTTGAAGTGACATATCAGAGATAGCTTAGTACTTAGTCAAACTTAGTACTTAAGGAAATTATTTATTATTCATAAATAATAACCTAATAGTGCCTGTGAAAAACATTAAATATTCTTATTCTTTTGAGATATGAGGAAGATGGCTGGAATAGAGCTGGGAAGCCTGAAATGGGAAGACATATAAAAATAAGGATATGTGCATACATATTCACATGGCACCTCAGAGCTTTGCAATGATTATGGTTTCCACTAAAAGAAAGATATTGAAGATTTTCTTATTTTTATTTATTTATTTATTTTTTTTTTTTTTGACAAAATACCCTCAGATTCTAAATTTTCTTATTTTTATTAACTCTGAATCTGTATTTATTGCTCTAGGAAGAGGAAGAGGAGGAGGAAGAGGAAGAAGACATTGACCACCTGGTGAAGTTGCATCGCCAGAAGCTAGCTAGAAGCAGCATGCAAAGTGGCTCCTCCATGGTAAGTTCTATTAGTTCTGAGATTATAAACACATTGGGATACCAGGAAGGAAAGAAGTGCCTCTCTAGAGCAGATTCAGTACCTGACATGGGGAAATCATCCTAGTTATTCTTTCCAGGTAAGTGGATGCATTTCTTATCCTCAATTTAGGCTATAGGTGCTTAGTGGCCATTTACGTGACTTCCTGAGCCTCTGCTCTGGAGATTATTACAGTAGAGAATTAGGGCTAGGGACTTTCTTTATCACAGCTTTGCGAACAGTAACCATGATTCCTTCCCTTATGAGGTACCCAGGCTATGAATTGAGCCAGATCAGATTTTTTTTCATCATAGCCTACTCCAAATTCTCACATTAAAGGAGAATGAGTGTCATGAGAGGGGCTCTGGCAGGATTCACTGGCATCAGGGTATGGTTAAAGATCAGTGATACTAGTCAGAATCATGAAGTTAAAGTGACATTTAAGAATCAGGGCCTACTTATGTCATGAGTATGAAGATTGATATTTAGAGGAAACACAGTCAGGGACAAGGGTGACTAGGGTTTGTTCACACTCATGCACAGGAAGAGAATATCGGCTTGCATAGCTGATAACTACCAGAGAGGAAGGTTCCTTTTCACTTCTGGTGGTATTTCCTCCCTGCCCACCTACTTCCAATTCTGCCTGAATCTCTTTCTCTATAGGTCTTGATAGAGATAAGGTGGGTAAAAGAAATCCACAGACAATTAAGGCACCTTGTTTTAATTAGTAATTAATCCCTTTTAGCCAGTATTTTAGCACATATAACAAATATGGAAAATGGATTTACCTGTACCTTACCTGTCCACTCCTTGCTCACCTCCTGGGGCAGGTGAAAATTAACATTAAAATGTATAAAAAGAGGGGAAGAAGAGAAGCTAAGAGCCTAGGTAAGCCACGTGCTGATTTATTGACCTGAACAATTGTCAGTATGCTGGTAGTTCTGTTTTATCCTCTGGGTCAAGGACTGTTGGCTGTACTAGTTCATAGCAGGGGCATCTGAAGCTTTTGTTTTGCTCAGTTATTATGGCTTTATCATGAAGAAAGATGTGAGCAATGTGGGCGGGGGAATATGCCTTCCCCAGATATTTGTGGGTGCTTTATCTCCAGAGTACGATCGGCAGCATGATGAGCATCTATAGTGAAGCTGGTGATTTTGGGAACATCTTCGTGACTGGCAAGATTGCCTTTTCCCTGAAGTATGAGCAGCAAACACAGACTCTGGTCATCCACGTGAAGGAGTGCCACCAGCTGGCCTATGCTGATGAAGCCAAGAAGCGCTCTAACCCGTGAGTACCTCTGGAACACAACTGATGCTCTCTGAGACCAGAGAGCAGACCCTGACATCTGTCTAGGCACTCTATTTTTTTTTGAGACAGTGTCTCGCTTTCTTGCCTAGGCTAGAGTGAGTGCCCTGGCATCAGCCTAGCTCACAGCAACCTCAAACTCCTGGGCTCAAGCGATCCTCCTGCCTCAGCCTCCCGAGTAGCTGGGACTACAGGCAAGAGCCACCATGCCCAGCTGATTTTTATATTATATATATTAGTTGGCCAATTAATTTCTTTCTATTTTTATGATAGAGACGAGGTCTCGCTCAGGCTGGTTTTGAACTCCTGACCTTGAGCAATCCGCCCGCCTCAGCCTCCCAGAGTGCTAGGATTACAGGCATGAGCCATCGAGCCCGGCCTGTCTAGGCACTCTTGATCAGAACTCATCACCTTCTGAGAGGTGGCGGGAGGGAGAGGTGAGGTAGAAAAGGGACCAGGATTATAAAAAGGCAAGAATGGCATGTGTCTGAAAGGGCTTGATGGAACATTTTTGACATTGCATTTCTCCATGGCATGTTTATATGGAGAGCAGGGAAGTGGTGAATGAACTTCAGAAAGGACAGCAAACTACTCAGTACTCTTTTTGCCTTCTAGATATGTGAAGACCTATCTTCTGCCTGACAAATCCCGCCAAGGGAAAAGAAAAACCACCATCAAGCGAGACACCATTAATCCACTATATGATGAGGTCCTCAGGGTAAGTATTTAGACCCCAAGGGTAAGAGAACTTGTTCTGTCTTGTGCCCTAAACTGTAGCTATTCCTTTGCAACATGGCCATGTGACATGGGTTTCAGTGGCCCACGTCTGTGTCTGAGGATGCACTCTGGCCATCTGTTCACATCCTCACCTCCGAGAGAAAAGGACAAAGGTGATATGGCTTTCCTGGATTGTTGTGAAGTTGGAGATTCACGTGGCCACAAATCTCATTTTAAAAAGCCATTTGAGATGAGAAGTCTCTTTGTCAGTCCTGTTTGGGGTTCCAGTGTTCTCTCACCCACTCAAGAAAAATTAATTAATTTTCTAGGTCCTCGTATGGAATATGGTAGGTTTTTGTAAAATGGGGTAAGTTGAGGAAACTCAAAATGCTTAGGGACTAAAGTAACTAGATATTCACAACTATGGACTTTGCTTATGGTTTCTTAGGTTTTAGAATAATCTTTTCTGAGGAATTACCACTAATTAATCATTTTGGGCTTCTACCTTCCCTTCACAGTATGAGATCCCAGAGTCTCTCCTGGCCCAGAGGACCTTGCAGTTCTCAGTTTGGCATCATGGTCGTTTGGGCAGAAACACTTTCCTTGGAGAGGCAGAGGTCCAGATGGATTCCTGGAAGCTCGATAAGAAACTGGATCATTGCCTCCCTTTACATGGAAAGGTAGTCTGCTTTAAAGCTCCTTCCGCAGCTTTCCTGGAAAGTAGGATTGTCTGCAGCAGCCTCTGCTGGTCTTTGCTGGTAGTGTCTTTGACTGTAGTCTTCTGTAGAGTTCTAGTGCACCCTGCTGGGGTTTCTGAGTTTGACAGCAATTTCAGTAATTTCATTTGTATGTCACATGTGAATTCTGTGTTAACCAGGCAAAGTATGAAGCCATGGTTTTGCTTCAGAAAGTTTTGTGTATGTGTGCCAAGCTTTGCCTCCTAACCTTCCAGAATTGGGGTGTATCCTGACATTCTACCTTTCACCTCTTCTCCGAGCTAACCTTCTGTACGTATCCTAGTCTGCACTCCTTTTCCAAGCTAACCTTCTCACTAACGAAGTGGGAACTAAAGCAATTCATGGAGCTCCAATTGCTGTCCTTTGCTTACACAAGCCAGGAAAGATTTCACTTTGGAGATGGCACCTCAGGCAAGAGTGTAGCCACGTGGCAAAATGTGCCTGGAATCTGAGTGCAGACCTGGGTTAGAATCCTGGTTCTGTCACTTGCCAGCTAGGTGAGTCACCTAACTTCTGTGAGCCTTAGTTTCTTCATCTATAAAATGGAGATAACAATAATTTTTCTCTTTTGCAGGATTGCATACACAGTACCAGTCAGTGGCTGGCACATACGGACATTTAGTAGGTTGCTGTCATTCTGTTTAAGATGAAATTTTGCTAAAACAGAAGACTTAGCAACTTCTTGATTATCAGAACTACACAAAGACATGGCAAAGTTCTTGTTAAATTTTTTACACTAGCATTTTAAATGTTTAAAACAATACACGGTACATAGAATATCTAGGGAAAGATAGACAAGAAACTAGTAATGGTGGCTGCCTCTAGGAAGAGAAACTGAGGGGGAAGAGAGATTTAGTATTCTCTATATGCCCTTTTTTAACATTTGAACTTAACCATGTTAAGAAAAGCATAAAAGGATTTTTATGCACATGGTTCAAAATTAAAACAACATAAAATGTATGAAAAAAAAAGTAGGTTCCGTTTCCTACAAATAACCACTGTTAACAATGCTTGGATATGCTTCTGGAAATTTTGTATTAAGCAGCACAGATATATATCTATGGATTTATATTTTTTCCTTTTTATATAAATGGGCTCACAGGAATCTCATTGTTTGTACACATCTTGATTTTTTTTATTTAACAATTTATCATGGACATACTTTTATGTTATCACTTACAGATCTATCTCCTATTAATTGCTACATATTATTCCATCATGTGCCTATATTATAATTTATTTACCATTCCTCTACTAATGAGTATTTAAATTATTTACTTTTTTTTCTTCTAAAACTGCCCTGCATTATATCTTGGCTTTCTTTTGTGAATGTAGCTGTCAGAGAAATTCCTGGTGGTGGAATTGCTGAGTCAAAAGAAATATACATCCAATGCTTTGATAGCTATTATTCTCCAAAAAAAAAAAGATACTGACAGCATTAAATTTGTCACTTTATATACTAATAAAAGCAGGAATTCATTTGATAAACACAGTAGGGGGACTCTAGTTAACAATATATTATATATTTCAAAATAACTAGAAGAGTGGAAATGTTCCCAATACAAAGATATGATAAATGTTCAGGTGATGAATATTCTAAATACTCTGACTTGATCATTATACATTCTATACATGTATCAGACTATCACATACATACCCCATAAATATGTACAAATATTATATATCAATAAAAAGAATCAGGAAAGCAATTATCACCAAAGTATAACATGTTATTAGAAACTTAGAATTTCTTTTTTCTTTTTTTTTTTTTTGAGACAGAGTCTCGCTTTGTTGCCCAGGGTAGAGTGAGTGCCGTGATGTCAGCCTAGCTGACAGCAACCTCAAACTCCTGGGCTCAAGCAATCCTACTGCCTCAGCCTCCCAAGTAGCTGGGACTACAGGCATGCACCACCATGCCTGACTAATTTTTTCTATATATACTAGTTGGCCAAATAATTTCTTTCTATTTATAGTAGAGACGGGGTCTTGCTCTTGCTCAGGCTGGTTTCGAACTCCTGACCTCAAGCAATCCTCCCGCCTCGGCCTCTCAGAGTGCTAGGATTACAGATGGTGTGAGCCACCGCGCTTGGCCCGAAACTTAGAATTTCTTAAACATTTGGGACTCAAGCCATTCTCTCAGGGGCCTACAGTTGATATAATTATATTAGAAATGTCACTGTAAACCATCATGAACTACTTTAATTAAACGGTTTTACACAAAGAGAAGAAACTGCATTGAAATGGAAGTATTTGACCTTTGCATATATTTTGAGCCAGAATGAAAATGTGCTCCTGAAACAATTATACCAGTTTCTGGCTAATGCTAAACTCCAATTTTTAAAAGGCAACTGAAAGTTCTCAGTCTAGAAATTAATAAATTGTATAGGCATTTTATAAACAATAAGAAAGACCATTCTTATAGATGTATTTTAACTTAGAACCTTCTATATCCATTGTTTTTGCCTTGTTCTTTTTTCCTTAGCAATGCATTTGCTCTCCTTCAGTTTTCTCTTGCCTGTATCCACCTACTAATTCTTTTGTCTCTCTGCCATGTACTAAACTTTGTGTGTTCTGGGTATGTGGCACATTGATCCAAACCTATGGGGATCATGCTTTCCTAGCATCAGTAAGGTCAGTAGTGAGGACCTAGGTTGGAGAATCCCCGGTGAACACAGGCAGGTGAAAGGGTACCTCTAGTCTGCAGCAGCTCATGCTCTGGATACCAAAACATAAGGAATAGAGTCACACACATAGAGCTAATAGAGTGAAGCAATTCTGCCACCCAAAGCCAACAATGATAGGCCACTTGCCGTTCATCCCAGACATTCATTCATTCACTCTTACATTCATTCAGTAAATACTTGTGGAGCACCTACTATGTGCCAGGTACTTTGCTAAGTATTGGGCATACTAGGATGAACAAAAATAGGCTTGATTCCTATCTTCCTGGCACTTAGATTCTAGTGGTATAGGCAGACAGTAGTCAAAAATAACCAAAGTAAATGTAAAATTAAAAATTATAGTATATTCAAATCCATATAACAGAGCTCCATTCCACCTAGCCCTCAAATCTTTGCAAGCCCTCTTTTAAAAAATACTTTTTATTTTAAAAAACCATACAAATGATATTTGCCATTCTCATAAAAAATATACTATAGATATTAATATAGAATAAAAGGGGAAAGCCCTCTTTCCTTTCCCCATCCTGCTCCCCTCCCGAGAGGAAACAAGTGTTAAGTTTGTCTGTTTCCTGGGTTTTTATACATAGTATAGTATAATGGTTAAAAGCATGGACTCTGGAATGAGTCTGTCTGAATTTGAATTCTGGCTATGTCAATTACTGTATGACCTTGGGCAAATTACTTAACCTCTCTGTTCCATAACCTGTAAAATGGGGATAATAGCACCTATCTCATAGGGACTATCTTGAAGATTAAATAAATTGATATACTTAAAGTACTTATAATAGTGCCTGGCACATAGTAAGTGCTATATATGTGATAATGATAATAATTATTTGCATACATATATATTCACATGTACAAATATGAATATATTTTAATATAAATGGGACATTTTTTTTCTGCATCTTGTTTTGTTGACTTAACAATATATCTTGGATATCTGTCCATGTCAGCATGTACAGATTCACTGCATTCTTCTTGATGACTGCATGCCATATGTTACACAAAGGCATTAAAAATTACTCATTTAACCCTTCATATACCGGTTGGCATTTAGGTTGTTTCTACTTTATGGCTGTTACTAACAATGCTGGTAGCACAATTCTTCATCATGGTGTCAGTCCTTTGTGAGTTTATGTGGCAACCTTGCTGGAAGACCTTTGGGAGTATTTGGGATCTAGTAACTGTACCCCAAAGTGGCATAATAATGGGTATTGCAGAAGACTTTTTGTCGGTTCTTCTGTATTTCCTTCCGAAGAAACTGCCTTGGAAACCTGTGGCTACGATGGCCTAGGGACCCTAGATTGTATTCATAAGGAGAAGGATCCTGTTCTTGGGGATAATTTTAGAATCTCCTCAGAGAAATGTCCCAACAGTTCCTGAGAAGCCCAGCTTGACCTGTTGGGTTTCCCTGTGTTTCAGGTCAGTGCTGAGTCCCCGACTGGCTTGCCATCACACAAAGGCGAGTTGGTGGTTTCATTGAAATACATCCCAGCCTCCAAACTCCCTGTTGGAGGTGACCGGAAAAAGAGTGAGTTTTCTTTGGGGCCTTGGATTTAGCTCTTAGTCTTCTGCACAACATACATGTGTGGCTGGTGCTAGCTACTGACTAGTACTGTTGGAGAGACCAGATTGGAATGCTTTCTCAATCTTCCAGGGAATATTCCTTTACTAAGGAAGCTTTTTCTGCATTTTTCAACCAGAAGAAATGCCTATCCTTAGGCATTCCTTTTTTTAAAAAAAGCTATTAAATTGACTTGGTCTTGGTCCAGCTGTGGCAAGCTACTAACAGGGCAAAAGAGAACAGAAACTTTGGGGCTGAGAAGGAGAGTTGGAAAGGGTGGTAAAGTATAAGAGACAGGCAGATGAAGGCTGAGGAAGAGTGATTCAACATGCCAGGCACTGTGTTAGTGACTGTGGATATATAAATGAGTAAGACGTGATATTTGCTCTCCCTTGAGGAACTTAAATTTTTGCAAAAAAGACAGTCACATGTTAAAAGGACACATATAGGAGTGGTGAATTCTGTCTGGTTACATTTGGAAGAGGTAAGAGCTTTGAAGAGGAAATAACATTGAAACTGGACATTAAGATTTTACAAGGAAGAAAAGAAGGAGGATGGGGAGAGAAGAGTGTTTCCAGAAGAGGGGACAGCATGAGCAAAGGTTTTAAAATGGCATGGTAGATGTGGGGTTGTACGTGAGCATGGGAGAGTGAACCCCTTATGTGAGTGGGGCTGGAGTTATGGCATGCTATACGTGGGAGTGGGGTTGGAATTGGAGATGAGGCTGGAGCCTGACAGTGGCCTTGAACACAACGGTAAGGAGTTTAACTTGACCCACTAGCAATGGGAAGCCAAAATTCTTTTAAAAAATATACCTTCAGCTAGGTCTAATCTAGAGGATTTGGGCAATCAATGAGCTCCCCAAAGAAGGTATGTAGAATGACTAGAGAAAAGAGGCAAGGATGAAACCACAGGGAGCAACATTTTAAAGAATGATGAGAGAAAGAATGCCAGTGAAGTGTAGGGGGTTATCAGGAGAGAGACATGTTAGGAGGGAGCTTCAAGAAGGGACAGCGGTTGTCAGCAGTGTTGAAACACTACAGGGGGGTCGGGATGGATGAGGACTGAGAAGACATAGCTAATTGGCATTAGATTGCATTTTCAGTGGATTAGTGGAAGCAGAAACCAGATTTTACTAGAAACGAGGCTGAGTAAATTAGGCAAAGAAGTAGAGGTGGTGAGTATCGACTTTTTTTTTTTTTTTTCCAGAGTAATTGATGGTGAAAGAAAGGAGAGCCATGGAGAATAGTTTGAAGAAGAGATAAAGTTTAAGGGAGGTTTTCTTTTAAAAGGATTTTTTTAAAAAAAGAGTTGAGATTAGCATTAGACCGAGGAGAAGGGACTAGTGGAGAAAGATATAGAAGATGGGCGGTGGGGGTTGAAATTGATGATGTCTGCTGAGTCCTGTGAATTGGGGATAGAATCAAGAACTCAAGTGGAGGAGTTCCCTCTTTTTAAATCATTCAACAAATATCAGGCAACTTTATGTCTTTAACTCTCAATTTTCTCATTTACAAAATGAGGTCAATAATAGTATATATCTTGTAGGGTTTTTCGTGGCGTCAGCCTAGCTCACAGCAACCTCAAACTCCTAGGCTTAAGCGATCCTTCTGCCTCATCCTCCCAAGTACCTGGGACTACAGGCATGCGCCACCATGTCCAGCTAATTTTTTCCATATATTTTTAGTTGGCCAATTAATTTCTTTCCAGTTTTAGTAGAGACGGGGTCTCACTCTTGCTCAGGCTGGTTTTGAACTCCTGAGTTTGAGGGATCCTCCTGCCTCGGCCTCCCAGAGTGTTAGGATTACAGGCGTGAGCCACCGCGCCTGGCCCTTGTAGGATTGTTTTGAGAAGTAAATGCTTAACATAGTCCCTGGTACACAGCCAGTTTTCAGTAATCATTTATTGCTATCGTGGTTGTTATTAATTGAGAGCCTATTGCTTACTGTTGGGCACTGTGCTAAGTACTGAGGGCATGGTTATGGAGTTTGCTACCTTCAAGAGCAAGGAAAGGAGATGCTCTGTAGATAAAGCTCAAGGTAAATCTGGAGGTGTAGGGGCTCACCTGCTATGGCTGACATTCCTTACAGGTAAAGGTGGGGAAGGGGGAGAGCTCCAGGTGTGGATCAAAGAAGCCAAGAACCTGACGGCTGCCAAATCAGGAGGGACTTCAGACAGCTTTGTCAAGGGGTGAGTCCCTGGACCAGCACCAAACTAACCAGTTTCAGGACAAGAGAGCTAAGAGAAGAACCCAATTTAACCTTTCTCTGTGGATATTATCCTGTGTGTCCTACCAACCCCAGCAATCAACTTTATTTCTGAAATTAGGTAATGGCAAAACCTCCACCACCTCTGCACTGGTCTGAGCTCATTTGGACTAGTCTGTAGTGTTGATATCCAAAGAGGAAGGTGGTACACAGATAGGTTCTGACTTTTCTCTGACTCATGCTATTAATTAATCCTGGGTAAAAATCTGTGTCTGCTGATTGTCCGGATTTGGGAACTCAGGGTTTTGTTCCCTGCAATATTTAAGCAAGGCTAGCTTTCCCTAAATTAGAAATTACCCACTAACTTTTCTAACAAATGATGATTGGCTAAGCCTATAGATATTACTGTTGGTTTTATTTAAAGAGAACCTTGCCTAGTAGAAATGGAATGAAATATTTAAAACCCGTTTTTGGTGGAACACAAACAACAGTCTCACTAATAATATTATATGCATTTTCTCTCCAGGTTAAAGGAATTAAATCAGGTGAATGATCTAGTGGAGGTAGTAGGAACTCTGCTTCAGCAAATTCAAAGGCGGGGTGTGTGCACTAGGATCTGGGTGTTGACTCACCTTCCTGGGCTAGGCCTGTGGCAGGGGCAGGGGGAATTTAGACAGACATTGCCAGCTTTGAGTAGGCTGTTGATTACTCCCCACCCTCTGCCAGATACCTCCTTCCCATGAGGAACAAGGCCAGTAAGCGTAAAACTCCTGTGATGAAGAAGACCCTGAATCCCCACTACAACCATACATTTGTCTACAATGGTGTGAGGCTGGAAGATCTACAGCACATGTGCCTGGAACTGACTGTGTGGGACCGGGAGCCCCTGGCCAGCAATGACTTCCTGGGAGGGGTCAGGCTGGGTGTTGGCACTGGTGAGAGCCTCTCCCCCATCCTCACTTATCTGCAAGGCCTCTTGCCTATTTCATTCCCAATACCAACCCCGCCCGACCTGTGCACCCAAACCTCCTCTGTGATGACAGCTGTCTTCTTTCCTTTCAATTAACATTTCAACAAATTTTTATTGATTGCCTACTATGTGCCAGGCCCAGGGGAAGGCCGAGCTCGTACACCATTGTGTGTATAGATAAATGTGACCCTGGTTGCCAGGAACTCCATCATCTTCCCACTAAGAAAACCTACAAACCTACTTATATATCTGTACTGATACTTTTTATCTTCCAACTGTGCTAACAAAAGCCAAGCTCTCTCCAAGTGTTCCGGGCCACCTCCTCCCCTTCTCAGTGACCTCACTTCTATAATCTCCATCTCTTAGTTTCATTCTCCCTACCTACTGGAGGGGAATGCAAATACACTCTAGTATGTTCAATCTTATTAAATAAAAATAAACCTTCTCTTGACCCCATGTCCCCCCTCTAATTTCTTTAAAAGAATGGTCTTCACTTCCTCACCTTTCCTTTAGTTTTCAATCCACTGTGATCTGGCTTCTGTCCGGCTACCCTGCTGAGCAATTGCTCCTGCCAAAGTGTTGTTTTCATCTCACTGGAATTTTTAGCACCGTTGAACATGGTGGATCACTGCCCCTTTCTTGGGACACTGAGGTCCTATTGATGCACATTCTGATTCCCTTTTAACTCACTGCTCACCCCTTCTCAGTTTTCTTTGTGAGTTCCTCATTCTATACCCAAACCCTAAAGGTTGGTGTTTCTCAGGGCTTCATGTTACATCCTCTTCTTTGCTTTCCCCACAGTCTCTGCATTCCTATGGCCTTAAAGACTACTTGCATATTAACAACCCCCACAAAGCATTTAACACAAAGCATCTGAGTGATGTCTTTACACATGAAAGCCAGTTCATGTCAGTCTCCTGTTAAAACCCTTCAGCGGCTTCTCATTGTACTAAGAAAACAATCCAAAGTTCTTGTCATGCCTACAGGCCCCTGTAGGAGCTGAGCCTTCTGTTGCTTTCCAATCCATTTCATATCACTCTTCTGCTTGCTCACTAGGCTCCAACCACGATGACTTTCTGCTCTCCAAATATACCAAGCTCATTTCCACTTCAGAACCTTAACAATTATTATTCCCTGTGTCTGGAAAGTCTGGCTCCTTCCCATCCTTTGGGTCTCAACTCAAATGTCTCCTTCTCAGAGAGTCCCTCAGACCACCTGCGCAGTAGGTCCTGATCCAAGCACTACGAATTACACTATTTATTTACTTCATAACATTGATCTCACTATCTGAATACTCTCATTGGTTTGCTTCTGTATTTTTTGTCTTCCCTATTCAAATGTAAGCTGCCTGAGGGCTGGGGCTGTCTCTGCTTCATTTACCACTGTATCTCCAGACCCTAGAAGAGTACCTGGCACACAGTAGGCACTCAATAAATGTTGACTAAATGAATGAATGTGCAGGAGAATAGGAATGAGGCCACATACATTCCTAACCTTGGGTCTGGAGTCTGCAGCTACAGAAAAAGGTGTTCAGCTTTTGTAAAAAAAAAAAAAATTTAACTCCAGTTGGCAAGGACAAGAAGGGCAATAGCTCTGGCATGAGGTGTCAGACACTAAGAGCTCTGTAACAGACTCAGGATAAGAAGTCTCTAGTAACTGTGTGTCATTTCGAGTCCCATTTCATCAAACTGAAGCCTCTTGATAGGGTCTCAGGAGCACAGAAATATCTGTTCAGGATAAACAGGGAGCACTTCCCAGACTGTGGTCCCCATCAGCTACTCTTCATAGCACACTGTCATTTATGGGGTGGCTGTTCTTGCTGTATAACCCATCTTCCCTGGTGGGCTGAGGAGTGGGGCCCCTGTTCAGCCTCCTCTGGTGTTTCTCCTCAGGGATCAGTAATGGGGAAGTGGTGGACTGGATGGACTCGACTGGGGAAGAAGTGAGCCTATGGCAGAAGATGCGACAGTACCCAGGGTCTTGGGCGGAAGGGACACTGCAGCTCCGTTCCTCGATGGCCAAGCAGAAGCTGGGTTTATGAGTCCCTGTCCTCCTCTGCATGTCCAGCCCTGGCCAGGGCAAGTCAGACGAAGTGAAGAAACCAAGAGCAAAGATTTATAATTTAAAGTGTGTGTGTCGTGTTTGTGTGTGTACAAACGTGTATTTCTGCAAATCTCATTGTGCTAGCTAGAGTGTTGCAGACTTGTTCCCCCCTTTTTAAAGCAGGCTCAAGAATAAGGGTCTCTTCAAAATGTTTTTATTTGTGCATAATCTAGTATATTTTCAGAGTACATTCTTTATTATCCCTTTAAGAGGTTTGATGAACTTAAGTCTTTTGAAACAACTTTTTCTCTTCTGTTTTGCTCTCCTTGTTCCTACTTCCCCAGGAAGCCCTGGCTACCTTTGGCATTAGTACCAGCCTGTGATTCAAGGTGTGCCCGATCTAAGCCAAGGCTCTGGGAAGCAGGGTTGGGTCACCAAAGACAGAGGGATATGGGAGAGAGGTGAGTGGTTCCTGTCCTTCCTTTCCAATGTATGCTTTTAACTCATTTTCTACCTTGATAAATTTCTGGAACTTGGCTTTTAACTTTTCTTGTTTTTAAGTAGTTTCCACCTTGTTTGGGTCTAATGCTTTTCTTGGAAATACTAAGAAAAATTCCCCAGCTTTTTCGAGTTCTAGATACCTTTACTAGACTTTTGAGGGACTCTTATAATGGAGCCACTTTTGAAAAGCACTTTAATTAGATAATGGCCTTCTGACTAAGTCATGAATATGCCCAGCGAGAGCTTTTAGCTGCTCCCAGAGGACCTGAGTGACTGAGGGTAAATGGTCTCATAGCCCATGGTGAATTCTCTGTATTTTAATCTGATACAGCAGATCTTGGAGAGAGAGTGCCTTATTTCTCTAATGAAAGATGAGACAGCTCACTCTCATATAGCACATCTTTCTTAGTGTTTGTGTCTCGGGTGTGTTACCACACAGAATATGGTCTATATACCACTGTGTCAGCCGGAAGAGCCAAGTCTTGTCTAAATTGGCCCAGTGTTTCTCCAGGCTGGGGATTGTTAGGGCTCCAAGGGAATGTAGACAGAGAATCTCCCAGTTATCCCGACTTCCCACCTGATATGGTTGCAATTCCTATTTTTGGTATTTGTTTCCTAAACATGACCTCCATGTATGGGTGTGGCATTTTGAGGCTTTTCAAAGATGGGCCTTGTCAGCTGAGTTTCATTTTCTGGTACTCACTGATCCAAATCAACCTTTTTGTTCTTATAAGTGTATCTACACAGTGTTGTGTTGGGAGGAGTCTATATCAGAGAAGAAATCCATTTCCATCGAGTCAGCTGCTAGCTGATTTCCTGTAAGGCCACTGGATTGAGGGCAGCTATCGTGGTTTCTATTGTATGTGTGAGCTTGAATGAAAGAATGTTTTTAAAAGATGAATTTGGGGTGGATTGATACTATAATGGAAGGTATAACTTGGGATCCTGGGCTGTAACTTGCTCTTTTGTTTCCCACCCCCTGACATGTATGTGTGCTTCAATAAAGCTTTCTCACTTGTCAAATGTTTGCATTTGTTAGTTCTATAGATGCTTTTGTCTCTAATGTCCTGACTTACGCTGCTTTTCCCATGGCGTGAAGGGTGGGAACCAAAGTGATAAATGTTCTTCCTTAACCATCTTGTGCTGATTTGAAGAAAATTTGCCTTTCCCCACATTGCTGCCTGAAACCTTTGCTGACCTCTGATCCTTTGTCCTTTGTGTTTGGTATCTAAGCAGAGAACTGAGAACCCATCTTTAAAGTGGTGCCACTTTTCTCTCTCTCAAGTACCAAGGGAACTCCTCCTTTAGCTTTGTAGACCCCCCTCCCCCCTGCCGTGCTGGAGGAAGGAGAGAGATGTTCACACCTGAAGTGAGGAAAGACATCCCCTGCCATAAGCACTTCTTTCTAGAACCTTCAGTTTGTCTGGGAGGTGGGAACTTTTCCCGTCACTCCTACTCACCATTATTTAGTTTTGAGAGAGAGATAACACTGATGCCATATAACCCATCTCAGAAATAAGACTGTTGGTTTCTAGGTAGATCCCGGGTGATTCTCCACCTCTTGTGCAAAAGGACATTAATCTATATTGAATGCCCTTTGACGTATATTGAATGTACAAGGCTTTATATATTATTTCCTTAATTTCTCCAGCCACCTTATGAAGTAGGAAATCTTCCCTTTTTACAGATGAGAATACTCAAGCCCACCGTCATGTGACAGGGTTGGGATTTCAACCAAAGTCTGACTCTAGTGCACCATGCCACCTCCTGTGAGAATGATGTGTGTGTTATGGGCGCAGAGTGAAAGGAAGGGGTGACTCATCTCTTAGTTGAGTCCTAAAAAAATAAGTTTAATTTATAAAGTAGGACAATCAGAATGGTTTGGATATTACCTAGCCAGCTTAGTGACTGTATAGCTTGTGTGTAAGAGAGAGAGAGAGAAAGTAGGATGGGGAGAGGGATGGGTTGGGGAAGACAGTGGGGGAGTGTGGCAGGGGGTAAAAGTGGGAGCAGAGAGGGGCAGAGAGAGAGAAACAGAGATACATACAGAGTTGAGGTCTGGCTAGTCCTTTTGGGTCTGGTTCTGGGCCTTATTCTGCTGCTGTCTCTTTCCCCTACTTTAGGAGTTGGGATTTTTTTTTGGAGACAGAGTCTCGCTCTGTTGCCCTGGCTAGAGTGCTGTGGCATCGGCCTAGCTCACAGCAACCTCAAACTCCTGGGCTCAAGCAATCCTCCTGCCTCAGCCTCCCGAGTAGCTGGGACTACAGGCATGTGTCACCATGCCTGGCTAATTTTTTCTATATATTTTTAGTTGGCCAATTAATTTCTTTCTATTTTTAGAAGAGATGGGGTCTCACTCTTGCTCAGGCTGGTTTCAAACTCCTGACCTTGAGCGATCTACCCGCCTGCCTTGGCCTCCCAAAGTGCTAGGATTATAGGCGTGAGTTACCGTGCCCAGCCGAATTGGGATTTCTTGAGTCATCTACAAAGGACTACAAAGGAGGTTACAGTAAAACCTTACTTAAAGAAAGCAAGACTGACTTGCCTTGACTATTCAATATGAAACAAAAGATCCTCAGTTATTTTAAGCTGCAGGAGCATTTATATGTAAGAGTCGGGCCCAGGTGGAAATTCTGTTCAGGGGATAGTGGGCCTCCTGTGTTTGGGCCTTGGACCTGCTAGCATGTCCTGGCTTGCCACTTGAAGTGTCAGTGATAAAGACAGGGAAGGGCATTCATCTTGCCTGGTATGGAATCTTTGACTTTTTCAACCACAGACCTGGTCTGTCCAGAGATTTCCCACTTGAACTTATTGTATTTTGCCTTTTGCCCATAACTTGCCTCCTGGCTCTCATAGCTCCTGTATTTCCCTGGAGGGAAGAGGGATAAGAGACCTTTTTGCTCCAAGTTTGATGATTTCCTCCATGTCCCATTCTATCTAGCAACTACCTAACTTTTTATTTTGCATTTTAAAAATGAGAATTCCACTAAAACCCCAGTGGAAACAGCTTCTGTCTGATTCACTGCTATCCTCATATGCTCTGGGCTCATGATTTATGTCCCATCACTGTGCTTTAAAGAGTGAATTTTCTTGGGTTGAGAGCCTTTCATTTCCCTCTTTCCTCCTGGGCCCACTCTGAGTAGGATTATAAAACATGGACTCTTTCTCCTAGCTTAGAGCTTTCAGCTGTCTTTAAATGGAAAGTAGAAAAAGAGGTAGGGGCAGGATGGCATAATGTCTATAGAGATTGCCTCTGGAATCAGGCTGCTAGTGTTTAAATTCTGACTGCACTAATTAGCTGCCCAATCTTAGGGAAATTGCCTAGCTTCACTGAGCGTCAATCCCCTCACCTGTAAAATGGGGCTGGTACCTACCTTATAGGCTTCTTGGGAAGACTTCAGAGTCAACTGATAGAGCATTTCAAATGGCACCTGGCACATATTGAGTGCTTGAGTCTCCCCACCCAGCCCGCTGCCTTCTCCCCTCTATTTTTCCACTGATCACCACCGGGTAAAGCTGAAGGAAGAAGGCTGCTGCGTCCTCGCTATGACCCTGGGTTCCGTGAGTATATACGAGAAGGCAAGGGGGGGGCGGGCGCGGTGGCTCACGCCTGTAATCCTAGGACTCTTGGAGGCAGAGGCAGGCAGATTGCTCGAGGTCAGGAGTTCGAAACCAGCCTGAGCAAGAATGAGACCCCCGTCTCTACTATAAATAGAAAGAAATTAATTGGCCGACTAATATATATATAGAAAAAACTAGCCGGGCATGGTGGCGCATGCCTGTAGTCCCAGCTACTTGGGAGCTGAGGCAGAGGATTGCTTGAGCCCAGGAGTTTGAGGTTGCTGTGAGCTAGGCTGACACCATGGTATCACTCTAGCCAAGGCAACAGAGTAAGACTCTGTCCCTAAAAAAAAAAAAAAAAAAAAAAGAAGGCAAGGGGGAGAATACTTTTCTTTTAAACCATGGCACACCACTGAGTGGGACTGAAGTCAGAGCAGAGACGTGTGTGGCTCCAGTTCATGATAGCCAGACCTCAAACTTACTTTCAGGCCTGGTTCTTAAGGCTTGACTTTGTGCTGCTGTAGCTCTTGCCCACATGACCTGTGGTGGTGGCTTTTGAAGGCTCCTAGATAACAGGCTGGAGTATCCTCTGAGGAAGGGACAGCATTGTCTGCCTTTTGCTATAGGAACTGGAGGCCTGAGGAAGAAGGTGTCCTTGCCCATGAGCCAGCCAGCGGGGGCCCAGATAGTGTGCTCGGCTCTGACTGGATTTGCCTTCCCAGGCTCCCTCCCATTGCAGCATTTGCCTAACTCTTAAGTGAAGCAATGGTTCAGATAACATTTGAAGCCCAATTGCCCAAGAAGGGGAAATGACAAACAGGTTCAAGAATGTTTTATAGCTCTCCCATCCTCCCACCCCATGGTCTAGTTAACCTGTAAGGAAAATCCAGCGTCGCTTGCTTAAAGTGTCCTGGTTGTTGTGATGGTGCTGCCCTCTGCTGTCTTCTCAGGGTAGAGGAACCAGTTAAAACAGTCAGTGAATGGATTTAGGATTTACTTATCTGAAAGACTTTGGAGAGCTGGGCAAAGGCCCAGGTTAGGAAAGGAAGGCCTTCTACCCCCAACCCACTGCCCAGGGCCTGTCCTCAGTCCCTACCTAGCTTCTTATGCTCTTGCAGTGCTACCCGAAGCAGAGACTTGCTTAGCAAAACTATTACACAGCCCTAAAAAGGTGCCTGGAAACATGTCTGGATTGGCAAACCTCACCACCTCAGAGTCCTGTCCCTAAAACTGTGGGAAACCATTTCTATTATTAACCATTTAATATTATTAAATGGTTAATAATATTAACCATTTATTAATATTATGCCCCAGCTTCAGCTAACTAGAGGAGCTTTTTTCTTGGCCTCAACCAATTCCCTGGCTCAAGTTCACTCGCATAAGTCCCTTTGCTCCCGGCGCTGGGTCAATTCCTGGTCGCTCAGTAGGTAGTCATCAATGAATGTGAAGATTTCCTCTGGGGTGACAGGTTGCATGTAGCGTTCTCGGTCAATACCCTGCTTGTCAACCAAAACCATGTTGAAGTAGGAGCGAGTGAGGCGCTGAAATTGCCTAGAGAGAGCAGCCCAGGGAGATGTGAGACCTTGTCTGGGCATCTGTCGCACCAGGCTCCACTACCCTCTGACCTTCCCCGGCTCCACTGATAGACTAATTCCTGTCACACCCTATGCCAGGTCCCCATCCCCCCCCCACTACCTATCTCAAGTCTCTTTGCTTTTCTGTGCTCAGACCCTACTCTTGGTGCTCCTATGTGTCTAGGTCTGCTAAGCTGTCCTTGCCCCAGCTGAGGCAGCTTTTTATGGAAGCTGTGCTTCCACTGTAGGCCCCTTTGGGCAGGGCAGGCATATATTGCTATGTAGGCTGAATAACTCCAGGGGGCGCCCATCACAGACACTATGCTGTGTGTGCACATGATACATGGCAGCCCTGAGGTTGACAAATACTACCTGGTTAACTCTTCTATCTGTAGCTGCAAGTCTCCAGTCTCCTTCCTCTGAGCGTTTCCTAGTCTCCCTTCTAACTGGGACTGAATCTTTCTGTCCCAACTGAGTCTGAGCCCTAGAGGCAGGTATTATTTCTAGAACAGCCAGCAGTGATGGCTTTATTAGCCCTGCATATACCTGGAGGCATTGGAAGGTTGATAATGGATAGGCAATGAGAAAAGTCAACTCCTACCACTTGTCTGTCCCCTATAGTCTTCTCTTCTCCCAGGATCTGATAGATATGCTTCAGATTTCAGTGCCTAAAGATGCCTTTTGGAGACTGAAGGTAAAGAGATGAGGCCAGAGGCAACAGGATCAGAGGATCCTCTGAGTCAAGTTTGGGTCTAACTGTCTCAGCGTTGGTCATGCTTCAGAGTCACCTAAGTGCCTTTATAAAAGCACATTCCTGAGGTGGTTTTAGGGTGGGGACTGATGATCTGTATTTCAAGCCCCTATTTGATTCTGATGTCCTGCCAGAGTCAAGAATCACTCTCTGGTCTTACCTAATGCATCCATAAGAGTTCAAAAACAAGAAATTCCCCAAGAAACTAGTGTCTACTGGTTCTCCCAAACCCCCCCCCCTCGCCCCAGTGCCAGTGGCCTGCCTAGGGTTTCTGCCCAACCCTGCCCTGCAGCTTCCCAGCCTGGACCTGAGTTCCTCGATGATGTCGGCTGACAGCTGTTGCTCTCGGATGCGCCCCACCTCCTGAGGTGGCTGCCCCACCAGCTCAATGATGGTCACGTGCCGCAGATCCAGTCCACAGGTGGATTGCTGGGAGGGGGAGAGAACATTTTATGGATCAGGCCTCTGCACTCAAACCTAAGGCTACCTGGCTGATTCCTCCTGGGATCACATGAGGCAGTGTGGGAAAGAAGGGGCTTCTCCCCCAGTGGTCACACGATTACACTGTTGGGTCTACAACAACCTTTTCCCTCTGTAACTCCTGAAGTACTTGCCCCAACAGTGTTTCCTTTATTCTGCTAAAGTGCATGAAACCAGTTAGATGATATAGGGTAGGAAAGAGATACATGATGACTAAATTGCAGGAACATAATCATTGCTTAGCTTTGCATAGGTTTTATTTTATTTTTTTATTTTTATTTATTTATTTAGAGACGGAGTCTCACTTTGTTGCCCAGGCTAGAGTGAGTGCTGTGGCATCAGCCTGGCTCACAGCAATGGCATCAGCCTGGCTCACAGCAACCTCAATCTCCTGGGCTCAAGGGATTCTACTGCCTCAGCCTCCCGGGTAGCTGGGACTACAGGCATGCGCCACCATGCCTGGCTAATTTTTTGTATATATATTTTTAGTTGGTCAATTAATTTCTTTCTATTTTTAGTAGAGACAGGGTCTCGCTCAGGCTGGTTTCGAAACTCCGACTCCGAGCCATCCCCCCCGCCTCGGCCTCCCAGAGTGCTAGGATTACAGGCGTGAGCCACCACGCCTGGCCTTGCATAGGTTTTAAACTACACAGGTTCTTAACGGATAACTAATGTGATAGGATAATAATGGCTATTGTTTATTGACTACTCCTACCTAATGCTTTGTAGAAATACTGTAATTAGTCTTCACAACACCCCTAACAAGCTAGGTGGTATCATTCTTACTCTGTAGAGGAGAAAGTAACTTGCCCAAATTTGAATGACAATAGATGCTGAGCTGAGATTCAAACTGAGGGCTGAATGCCTTTACCCACGTGTGTGCTCTTTATCACTAGGCTATTATCACCAGGGTCTTCTCTTGGTCTTCAGGATTTCTCCAAAATAGTGCCCAGTGCTTTTTTCATTACCCTTCATTGCCTTCCTCGCAGTGGGCAGCACACCCTGTAACCCCACTGTGGCGGTCTGTCCTGCCAATTCTGCAGAATCACCCATTAGCCAGTTACCAGGGCAAGGTTTAAAGAGACACTGAATACTCCCTGGTGCCCCATTTCGTTTCTTCTTTGGGCTCCCCCTCTAGTCTGTACCCCTCAGAGTCACTGTCCTCACTGGCAGGTTCCTCTTCTTGTCCTCGCTTCCTATTCAAACTGAGCTGTTGCCTTTGTCTGCCTTTTTTAGATCCCTGGAGGAATGAGATCCTTCTTTGGTCTAGACGCCCCAGGGTTTATTCTTTTGGTAAAACTGCTTCCACCAAGGGCCTGTCAGTATTGACTTGGCAACTTCTAAGATTCAACCTATAGAAACTCCCTAAGCAGCTTTTTCTCTTACATGAGGATCCAGCCCCTTGTAGCTTTGAAGCTCCCTAGAGCTGCTTCTCTTTGTCTTGTCAGCACACCCTGAATTCTCTTCAGCAACCCAGCCTGTTCTTTTTATAAGGCCCCATGGTCATATCTAGTCTGTCCTATTTACCTCTCCCTCCCCCACCAGTGGCTTTGGCTTGGTAGCTCCTAGTATGTTAAAAATCATCATGCAACTCTCTGATTTTACTTTGAGATATCACAACACTTTTCCTTCTCTTCTGCTACTGGTAGTGGTTAAGAGCACAGGTCCTGGTGCCAGACTTCCTGGGTTCAATCCCAGTTTTGCCACTTACTAGCTAGTGACCTTGGGCAAATCACTTAACCTCTCTATGCCTCAATTTCCTCACCTATTCAATGGGGATAATGATAGTACCCACCTCATAAGGGTTGTTGTGAGAATTGGATATGTGTAAAGCCCATCGATCAATACTTGGTACCTACATGGCACCTACTGCATAGATGTTTGTTAGTGGTATTATTCCTTGAAAACATAAACATGGTTAATTCCCAACTTTTACATTTGACCATAACTGTCTTGCAAGTTTCTACAGAGTGCTTTGCCACACTCCTTTCCCATCTTTGACCCAGTCTCCTGCAAGTCACATCCACCATTTCAGTGGCTTCACTGCCTTTTCAGTAAAGACAAAGCAGTTTTTAAAATGTGCTAAATCTGTCTATGGTAAAACTGATCAAATGCTATCCACAAAAAGTTTGAAGAAGTAGGGTTTGTGCTGCAGAGAGCAACTGTTTGCTTTGGAAAAGGCACGGGGGTAATGTAAAGGAGCTAAACCCTCATTGAGGGAGTGGGGCTCACCTGTAGCATAGAGATCTGCATTTTATAATATCGGTTGGAGGCATCAGGAGCTGAGATGATGAGGAGCCGCCGTTTCTCATAGAACTGATCCAGAAGGCCAGCAGCCGAGTTGACATTGACATTAATCTTCATAGCTAGGGCAGAAGCAGATGGCCAGAGTATGGCCTTCGCCTTCATCCCAGCTTGGATAACTTAACATTTTGAGGAGTTCCAGTCTTTCAGGTTAACTCTTTCTTGTACTTTCTCCCTTCCCTTGGGGGAAATCCTGAAAGAACACTTGGAGATTTTAAACTCTTCTTTTTTGGAGTAGGAGTATTCTATGGGAGAATGTTGACCCTTAAAATAGACACATCTCCAGAACCCTTCATTCTCACATCATGTAATATATTGGCCCCTGTGCCATTGGGAGGGGATCCTCCAGAGTACCCCTGATCAACTTGTCCACTCTCCTCATTCCCTGATTTCACTCACGAGCACAGATAGGTGATGATCCTGACCACTGGCGGCTGGATTGGCAGACCCGGGAGGGGGTCCCCTGGCGCTCATAACCTCCATCACAGTGGTATTCACAGACAGCACCGTAGTTGTCCCCCGCTGAGGTGCAGGTGAGGTAGCCATGCTGCGGTGGTTTCAGAGTTGGGCAGCGTCTCACTGTCAGGGAGGAGCTAAAGTTAGGGGTTAGGGTGTCTCTCACAGGAAAGAAAGGCTGGGGGGAGCCCACGCTGGGCTCTCCAGACCCGGAGACTGAGGATGATCAGAACAAAATGGCTTGTCTATATTTCCAATGGCTGGGAATGGAGCTGGAATTTTTCTTATGGAATTAAATCTGAAATGCAGACCAAAGTTTGTAAAGTCTGGAAACACAGGTGAATGTACATATTGTCATCAAAAGACTATCAATCTGTAAAAGAAAAGATTGTCATCTATGTTTCCAGACTTTATGGACACCCTGAGTAAAGATGACCGCCTTTCAGGATTACTTTTAATAGCAGAAATAAGTAGTCATAAGAGGCCGGGCACGGTGGCTCACGCCTGTAATCCTAGCACTCTGGGAGGCTGAGGCGGGCGGATCGCTCAAGGTCAAGAGTTCGAAACCAGCCTAAGCAAGAAGCAAGATCCTGTCTCTACCAAAATATATAATATATTATATAAATATATAGATATTAGAAAGAAATTAATTTGCCAACTAAAAATATATATAGAAAAAATTAGCTGGGCATGGTGCACATGCCTGTAGTCCAGCTACTTGGGAGCTGAGCAGAAGGATCGCTTGAGCTCAGGAGTTTGAGGTTGTGCTGAGCTAGGTTGACACCATGGCACTCTAGCCCAGCAACAAAGGAGCTCTGTCTCAAAATAAATAAATAAATAAATAAATAAGTCATAAGAGTCTTAAGTGTCCATCAGTGGGAGAAAGGTTAAGCAAATTATGATACATTCTTATAGTAGAATATTATGCTGTTATTAAAAATATTTTTGAAGAATTTTTAAATAACATGGGAAAATTACTTTGTTTTAATGAAAAGTGGAAAAGGATGATCTATGATTGGCTATACAGTACGATCTCAACTATATATTTTTTAAAAGCATGCATAGAAAAACGACTGGAAGGAAAATACCAAAAGGTTAGTAATAATTGCCTCTGGATGATGTAATAATAGATTTTTTTTCCTTTATATATTTCTTTATCAAATGTTCAAAAATAAGTATGAATTATTTTTATAATGATAAAAGCAAAACAATACAATACAAAGCAACGAGGGCCAATCAGGCAGCCAACACCACCAGTTTCAGCAGAGGCAAATGACTGAGAATGAAGGATGATTAGATTTGATCATTTTGAAGTCCAAGAAAAGGAAAAGATACAGAGTGAGTATCTTTGTGAATTTTATCTAGATTTAGGAGAACGGGAATGTCTTACTGGAGAGTCCAGGTTTCAGAAAGACACACATGTACATGTAACGTAGGCTTTCTGAATCAGCCTGTTCGGTGAATTTGTTTTTTCTCTCTCCCAGTATAAATGAGATGTGTCTGTTTCAGGCATAGAGAGGAAAGGATTGTGGTGGGCCTTTATTTTTTTATTTTTTTATTTTTTGAGACAGAGTCTCGCTTTGTTGCCCAGGCTAGAGTGAGTGCCGTTGTGTCAGCCTAGCTCACAGCAACCTCAAACTCCTGGGCTCGAGTGATCCTCCTGCCTCAGCCTCCCGTAGCTGGGACTACAGGCATGCGCCACCATGCCGGCTAATTTTATATATATATCAGTTGGCCAATTAATTTGTTTCTATTTAATAGTAGAGACGAGGTCTTCTCTTGCTCAGGCTGGTTTTGAACTCCTGACCTCGAGCAACCGCCCGCCTCAGCTCCCAGGTATAGGATTACAGGCGTGAGCCACCGCGCCGGGCCTGTGGTGGGCTTTTAGAAGGTCAGGGTAGAGCAGGAATAACAAACACTGCAGAAATTGAAGAGTTCTTTCTGACCTTGTACTTTCACGATGAACTTGCAGCTGGCCCGGTTGTATGCTCGGTCATAGGCAGTGTAACGAATCACATGCTCTCCTTCGGGAAATTGAGAGCCAGGCTCAGGTCCCCGAAGTGTCACCCTGCATGGGACAGGGTGAAAGAGGCATTGAGGAAAGAGACCCTTAGAATGGAGGCCTGGGCATATTATCACTTGTAGCCTCAGCCTATGCAGTTTCACTGTGAGCAGGCTGGGGGGCTGGGAGAAGCTTCTGGGAGGCATAGGGGGGACATTGTTACTCAAGCTTACCTGGTGATGGTACCATCAGCAGAATCTTTCACCAAGGGTGGATCCCAGTATACTCGAGCAGTCAGTTTCTCTGGCTCTGCCATCTTCTCACGTGAGTGAGGACAACGGATCTTGGGGGGATCTATGTCTGCCAAGGTAAATAATCAAGTGTTCATTTGTGGGCCCCTGCCTTCCTGGGAGGGAACCCATCAAAATAATACCATACACCACTGGATAGGTAAAAAGTTCAAGGTGCTCAAAGAAACTGGGGAAGGAGGCCCAACTCCAGGGGAAATGATCATTTTGTTAAACATATGCTCAGGGTGCCACCCCCATAGTGAACAAGAATGCCGGCACGGTGAGAATTTCACATCTTTTGTGGCTATCATGCTAGGGTGGTTCTTTGCAGCAGGACAACTGGGAGCGCCCAGCATTTACCTACACATACAGGTTCGCCTCCACTCCATTGCCCATCTTCCATGCAGATTCGGCTGCGGTCACCTTCCAGGTGGTAGCCACTGGAACAGCTGTAGTCACAGCGGGAGTCAAGAAGCACCCCATTTGTGCAGGTGTAAGTGCCACTAGTGATGAATGGCAGTGCGTGGCATCTCATCTCTAAGAGAGAACCAAGTAGCAAGCTCAGTGGCCTGTGGGACTATCTGGAGGTGATATGTGAGCATCTAGCACAGGGAGAACCATATCACAGGCAGCAGAAAATATAGACATTCTACCCAAACTGCCCTTATATTTTTGTGCCTACCTGCATTTTCCCCTAATTGTGTTTACATTTTCATATTATAAAGTACAGCAGCACTCTTGTGAGGGGGTCTCAAAGAGGGAAATTATTTAAATACTTGTCTCAGCTCATGGACTTCAGGATCAGACCTGAGTTTGCATCCCAGCTCCACCTCTTAGGAGCTCTGTAACTTGGAGAAGTTGCCTTATCTCTCTGGTCTCAGTATTTTCATCAACAAAATGTGGATACCTCATAGGATTGTTATGCAGATTAATAGAGAAAATACATATAAACCTCTGGGCTAATTTAGGGCCCTAAGCAACTATTAATTTTCATCTCTTGTTCCTCAAATGCTTGATGCCTTTGAGCATGTTCAAAGCTCCTTTTTGAGTATAATTTTGGCACTCACACAGGCGCTGCTCAGCTAAGGCTCACTTACATGCCAAAGTGGGCTGGCCCTCTGTCCCAGCTAGAATACAAATCAGACCAGTGCCTGAAGGGCCAGGCATGGTGGCATTTGATAAAAGAGGACTCTATGTGCTTTAGACATCACACGTGCCGGAAGCAGAGACTGCCACTGTGAATTAATTGTGAATCTTTGCTTGCCAAAGTCTTGTCTCAGATACCGGACACTTGAGAGAGGTCGGCCATATATTCCTTTAGGTTGTTTAAGTTCAAATCCCGCATAAATTCAGTTGTTGGGGTTTTGAATAAAGATTTATACAAGCTATGTTCATTTTGCTTCTTGGCCAAACCAGACTTGAAGATTATTGCCTTTTCTGTTTTCCAGTATCCCTTACCTAAAGACCTATGTAAAAGTGACCTCCTTGAAATTAGGGCCAAGGAACAAGGTTTGTCTGTTCAGATGAATTTGTTTGCTTAGTATCATATGACAGTAAAAATGATAGATCCAAAGTGTTTGCCCTTTTGTTTCTTATAAAGAAGGTCAAAGCTCGATTCCGTGCTTCAGTGCAGCAATCAACTCATTCTAGTCACCTGGAGATATGTATGTCTCCATTCTTTTAACTGATTTAAATGTTCACTTGTAATTTATAGCCTTATATTTTTCAATTTTGTCAGGCCAATTCAAATTCATTTAGGAAACAATGGAGTCTAAGTCCCGAAACAACTTAATTCCAGGCACCTGGAGGGGTGTGGTGAGTGCCTTCTTTCTGGCTATCAACCTTCTTTTCTCCTCCACAGCATCTTCTCTGACCAGCCCCATTTCTCTCTTAATGCTCAGCACGTCTGTGTCAAGTTACATCACATTCACGTGCACATATTTGTGTTTCTATCCCATTAGTCTATAAGCAGCCCGTGGATACTTGAGGAACTGAGTAAGCTCCCGAAGTGAGCAACATAGGGCCCTGCACACATGAGTGTCACACAAATGGTATTGAGCCATGAACATACAGATAGATAAAGCTCAGCTACTAAAAGAGGGTAGGCTGTGGAGCTTGAATAAGAGGTAGGGATTTGGAAGCTGAAGGGGGACATGATTTGGAATGTGAGTGTATTAGCATCCTCACATTCTAGCTTTAGGGATTCTTCTGACTTTCAGAAGAAAATGAAGAACAGCAGATGTCTCATAGCTTGACTGCCCAGGCCTTATAAGGCTGTAGGCCAGGAAGTACAGCAGTTGACCACAAGTGGGAAAGAGTCTGAGACCACATATCCTCAGGAGCTCTAGAAGCAGGTCCACAATAGGCCTCAGGCCCAAGCCTTAGCCCCCTGTGGGCAGTCCTGGACTCTCTGAGTCAGAAGGGTTGGTTGCTACTTAAATGCCCCTGCTGCTTGGGCAGTAACCACAGGGAGAGAAAATGAACTAGAATCTTAGGATGGGGAGAGGCCCTGTAGGGGGCCTGTGGAAAATTCTCAATTTGCACTTGAGAAAAGGGCATAGTAAACCTCCAGATATATACCCTCAGTGGCTGGCTGGCTGGCTTCTCTGGAAGACACACACAAACATACACACACACACACACACACACACACACACACACAACTTACGCCTGCAGTAGGCAGTTCCAGACCAACGGCGGCTTGGCAGGCATTGCACGGACCTCCGTCCAATCAGTCGAAAGCCCCGATCACAAGAGAGCTCACAACGTGTGCCCAGGCTGCTGTGATAATTTCCTCCCCTTGGTGAGTAGCATGTGGCTTCTCCATCCTGGATATTTAATGTATAACACCATCGGGGAACTGTAGCAATAGAAGAAAAGTAAGCTAGAAGTACAGTAATCAAGACAGTGTGGTGTTGGCAAAAGAATAGGCCATAGATCAATGGAACAGAATAGATAGCCCAGAAGTAGACCCACACAAGTATGTCAAAATGATTTTTGACAAAGGTGCAAAAACAATTCAATGGAAGAAAGATCACCTTCAAACAAATGGTACTGGAGCAATTGTCCTTACATATGCAAAAGAAAAAAAAACAAAAACCTCTCTACCTAAGCCTTACACCTTATGCAATAATTAACTCAAAATAGATAATGGCCTTAAAAAAATAGAAGAAAATCTATGGGATCCAGGGCTAGGCAAAGAGGTCTTTGCCATGACTTCAAAAGCACAATTCATAAAAGAAAAATTAATAAATTGGATCTACCTTGTCGAAACTAAAAACTTCTGCTCTGTGAAAGGCACTATTAAGAGATAAAAGACAAGCCACAAACTGGGAGAAAATATTTGCAAACAATATATCTGACAAGAGGCTAGTATCTACAATATAGAAAGAAATCTGACAACTCAACAATGAAAAAGGAAACAATCCAGTTAGAACATGGGCAAAAGATATGAACAGACATGTCATGTCACCTAAGAGGATATACTGATGGCAAATGAACACATAAAAAGATGTTCAGCATCATGATTCATTAGGGACATTCAAATTAAAACTACAATGAGATACCATTTGTTTTAATTTTTGTTTTTGTTTTTTTTTTTTTTTGAGACAGTCTTGCTTTGTTGTCCAGGCTAGAGTGAGTGCCGTGGCATCAGCCTAGCTCACAGAAACCTCAAACTCTTGGGTTCAAGCAATCCTTCTGCCTCAGCCTCCCGAGTAGCTGGGACTACAGGCATGCGCCACCATGCCTGCTAATTTTTCTATAATCCTATTCAGTTGGCCAATTAATTTATTTCTATTTATAGCAGAGACGGGGGTCTCGCTCTTGCTCAGGCTGGTTTCGAACTCCTGACCTCAAGCAATCCACCCACCTCGGCCTCCCAGAGTGCTAGGATTACAGGCATGAGCCACTGCGCCCGGCCTGAAACCACAATGAGATACCATTTGTATACCCATCAGAATGTCTAAACTTAAAAAAAAAACAAAACCTGGCAATACCAAGTGCTGGTGAAGATGGAGAGAAACTGGAACTCTCATACATTGCTGGTGGATATGCAAAAATACAGGAACTTTAGAAAATATTTTGGTAGCTTCTTATAAAGGTAATACCATACTTTCTTCTAAAGAAAGGTACACTAACCATGTGACTCTGCAATCCACTTTAAGGTAATTTATCCAAGTGAAATGAGAAACTATCCACACAAAATCCTGCACACAAATGTTTAAAGTAGCTCTATTCATAATTGCCAAAAGCTGGAAACAACTCAAATGTCTCTCTGTGGGTGAATGGTTAAACTAAATGTGGTTTATCCATACAAAAAAATGAAGTGCTAGTACATGCTAAAATATGAATGAATCTCAAATGCATTTTGTGAAGTGAAAGGGGCCCGACTCAAAAGGTTACATATTGTAGAATTCTATTTATATGACAAAAATATAGGCAAAAATATAGTGATGGAGTACAGATCAGTGGTTGCAAGAGAGCAGGGTAAAGGGAGGGGCTAACCTCAAAGGGGGCAGTGCTGGGCAAATTTTTGACGTGATGGAACTGTTTTGTACTGTGGTGGTCATTACCTGATTCAACGCATTTCTCAAAACTCATAGAACTGTACACCAAAAGAGGGAATTTTACTGTATGTAAATTTAAAATACGTTTTTTAAAAATAACATGAAGATGTGAGCTAGAGAGAGGAAGGGAATGTGACATCAAAAAAATCTGCTTAGGAAACAGAGCCAGATCCCAGTTCAGCACTGAGCACAAAAGGTTATAGGGTTGTTAAATCATAAAGGAATCATAAAGATGCCTCATTGGGTATACAAAATAAACGACTCTGTAGCGGGTTCAGAGTTTAAAGGGACACAGATAAACAAGCAGAGGGCCATCTGCTCAAGGATGCACACAGAACACGGTGCGGATCTGTTATCCTAGGGTTGGGATGGCTAAAGCCCCATGTGAGCTGATTCAGTTTCCAAATCCTAAGGGACAAAAAAGAGGGGGCTTTGAAGAAAAAAAAAAAAGGAGACGAGAAGTCAAAGGAACAAAGAAAGGCTACAGCCTCTGCTTGAGCGCAGCTGGAGAATGAAGACAGATGACAGTGAGAAAACTATTCAGCCAACACCACGCGTGGGGCTTCCAGCATTAGTTTCGCGCTTATGGCAGTGACACACGGCTGCCATCTGGAGACACCATCTCCAAATTACAGAAAGTCTCTTAAGCACTATTGTTGCAGAGCTGTTGATTATAAAGCCACAACACATACCACAAAGACATTATTTGGGAGCCTGGGACTTCAACAATCACTCCCATTCTATTTTTTCTCCCATATTCTGTCAAGGAAAATACACATCAGATTGGAACGGGGAGAACAAGCAAGAATGGTAAAGGGAAATATAAAGCCCAGGATAAAGGCTGAGACAGTAGGAGAGACCCTAGCTATTGTAAATAAGTTTAAACTTGCTGACCTGGAGGAACATTGGCATAAAGACAAAATGTTGAAAGACGAGAGAAGGGCAAAAACACAATCTCAATTTTCAAAGGAGGAAGAAGGTAGCCTCTGGGAACTATAAGCTAGTGACAGGGACAGCACTGATAGCATAGTGTTCTAGAATATTTAAATGTAAGATTTATGGCAGTTAGAGGAGTAGTGATATCCAGGAGACCTTGGAAACAAGTAATTCCAGATTGACCTCATTTCTTTCTGGGTAGGGTCACCAGACTGGTAGAGCAGGAGAAGTGATGGGTACACTTTGCAAAAGTAAGCGAAGCATGGGATAATGCTTTTCATGCCACTGATGTGGGTGAGATGAAGAAATATAGGAGAGGTGACAATACGGTTAAAAAGATTCATAACTGGCAGAGCAACTGTAGCTAAAGAATGTCAGTGGGAACCTGAAATTCAGAATGTAGTGAAATACTGCACGGTGAAAATGTGTAAATCTTTGCTGAATATATGTGCTAGGCATCATGCTACATATTTTCCTTTTCACATACATCATCTCATATAGCCCTCCCAACAGCGCTGTGAGGTAGGCAGGTGTTTATCCCTCTTTTACGGATGAAGAAGTAACTTACTTGCCCAGGGTCCCTCCGCAAGTAAGGGGCAAAACTTGGATTTGAACCCAAGCTTTGTCTGCTCTAAAACCCATGTCCTTTCTAACCACAATATCTGCCACTGCAGCATGATAGGCTGCTATTTTGAAGTAAACAATGACCTTGTTGAATAGGTAATATAGCCACATGGCTTAAAATTCAAAAAGTATGAAAAGTTATGCAGTAAAATATCCCCCTCCTACCTCCTTAGTGCCTTCCCAAGGACCCACTATTAACAGTTTCTTTTCTTTTTGTTTCTGGAGACAGAGTCTCACTCTGTTGCCCGGGCTAGAGTGCCATGGCGTCAGCCTAGCTCACAGCAACCTCAAACTGGGCTCAAGTCTCACTCTGTTGCCCGGGCTAGAGTGCCATGGCGTCAGCCTAGCTCACAGCAACCTCAAACTCCTGGGCTCAAACTCCTGGGCTCCTGCCTCAGCCTCCCAAGTAGCTGGGACTACAGGTATGCGCCACCGTGCTCGGCTAATATTTTCTATTTTTAGTTGTTTGGCTAATTTCTTTCTATTTTTAGTAGAGACAGGGTCTCGCCCTTGCTCAGGCTGGTCTCGAACTCCTGAGCTCAAACGATGCCTCAGCCTCCCAGAGTGCTAGAATTACAGATGTGAGCCACCGCATCTGGCCAACAGTTTCTTTATGCATATAAAGCAAAGGTTGGTACAGCTTCTTATTTCCCCCCCTTTTTAACACATGTAATTGCATTATTGTGCCCACTGTTCCACAACTTAATGATGTATTTAGAGATCTTCTTATATCACTACATAGCAAGCATCCAATTTATCTCAATGAAATAACATTTATAAAATATATAGCACAGTTTCTGGCACATAATAGATGTTTGTCCAGGGTCAAAGAGCTGGAAGGTGGAGGAATTGGGATTTGAACTCAGGCTCATGGCCTCTGCCTCTGTAGCTATTCGTCTATCTCCTTTTAGGGCATATTAAGAAAAAAAAAAGTGCTGACAACAGGGTTGAAAGGGCCTTCTTTGTGATTATGTTCAGATAACCCAGGCAGCGTGACTGGTTTGCCCAGGGCTGAGGCACGCTGTGAGGAAAGCAGCAGAACTGCAGGCGAACTTCAGAAAAGAGTTTCTGACTCCAGGCTAGGAGTCAGGGTAAGGGCATGACAGAAAGTATGAGATGAACGAAAGTGATAGCAAACGACATGGCAGTTTGCTCTAAAATAACGATCCGGGTAGTTCTTTTCTTAAACAATGAGTTACATTTTTGATGAAAGAGATAGACTGAGCATGGCTTTGGAGTCAAAGACCTAGGTTTAAATTCCTGCTGTTCTGAGCATCTCCAACCTCTGTGACTCTCCAAATATAACTTCCCTGAGCTTAGTTTCCTGATCTGTAAAAGGAGGGATAATAAACCAGTTCCATAGGGCTATTGTAAGAATCAAATTAAATTGAGTGTGTAAAATATCTAACCCTACGAATGATATTCCCTAAGTCAGTGTCTGGATTTGAGCCACTGTCTTAACCCTCTTCAAGCAACAAGTGGCTGTGGCTTTCAGCGTTAGTTTCAGCGTTAGTTTCGAGCATGTGACCTGTGACACACATCACTGCCATCTGGAGACACCATCTCCAAATTATGGAAATTTCTTAAGCACTGCAGTTGCAAAGCTGTTGATTATGAGGTCACAAAGACCTAATATGAGAGGCTGGTACCTTAGGTTGTTATTTTCCTGGCCACCCCTTTCCCCTCATCATTGATAACCTCACTCAATTCGTTTTATGCCCTGAGACTAAGTCTCAAAGATAATCATGAGACATTAGATCCCAAGGCCAAAATGTGCTATGCAGCTTATATTTTTCTAAAGGGCTTTATGCTTATTAACCAATGAGGAAGGTTAATATTAATCATAGGGCTGCCAGACCCCTTGAATGTACCTTCTGCATCTGTTGCTTTTTACTATGCACCTCTCCCATTTATAGTTTCCCACAAGCTGGCTTCTGCTTCCAGAATGCCAATGGTCAGCATCTACTTTTTATTATACATGGCTCAGTGAAAGTGACACACATGCTCCTTCTGTTAAATGGATAACTATTTTGTTGAGAGTAATAAAAAGTAAACCAGAGAGGCAGTACTAATGAAGGCCAAATGAGTGGTCTAGACCAGGTGTCCTCAAACTACGGCCCGAGGGCCACATGCCACCCGCCTAGGACATTTATCCGGCCTGTTGGGTGTTTTTGCCGCCACTGCCTGTCCTGCTTAGCAGCCGACTCATCCCGGGCCCACAGTGTGCACTCTCCAACGGTCTGAGGGACAGTGAACTGGCACTCTGTTTAAAAAGTCTGAGGACCGTTCCGTGTGCCTGCTGACGTCTAAAAACAAAAAAAAACCAAAAAAAACAAAAAAAACAAAAAAAAGTTTGAGGACCCCTGGTCTAGACAATAAACATTTAATGGAGAAGAGGTACATAGTAGGTACTCAATAAATATTCAATGAGAGAATGGAGGGGTAAGGGAAAGTGTGGGCTAAGGCAGTCTGGGAACAGAGTAGCCAGGCCGAAGCATAGAATTCAGGTGGGGAGAATGGGTAAGAAGTTGTCAGACTGGGAAGCTAGACTGAGGCCAGATTCTGGTTAAAAATGGTTATAGGCCAGGCACTGTGGCTACGCCTGTAATCCTAGCACTCTGGGAGGCCGAGGCCGGCAGATTGCTTGAGGTCAGGAGTTTGAAACCAGCCTGAGCAAGAGCGAGATCCTCTCTCTACTATAAATAGAAAGAAATTAATTGGCCAACTAAAAATGTATAGAAAAAATTGGCCGGACATGGTGGTGCATGCCTGTAGTCCCAGCTACTCAGGACACAGTAGGATTGCTTGAGCCCAGGAGTTTGAGGTTGCTGTGAGCTAGGCTGACGCCGCAGCACTCACTCTAGCCTGGACAACAAAGTGAGACTCTGTCTCAAAAAAAAAAAAAAAAAAGGTTATAGTGGGTCATTAGGTATTGGAGAGGGAGAAATATAAGTCAGAGAATCCAGTTAGAGGCAACTGCCATTATCTATGTGAGAGGTAAATGTTTTAATCCCATGGATTAATAAAGAAATGACAGGTCTCAGTGACCGACTGTGAGAAGTGATGAGGAAAAGGGGGCTACTAAAGGTGATAGGGGCCATTAGAGGTGACATCGAAGTATTTTGAAGTCCAAGTAACTAAGAGAATGATCGTACCATGATCAGAAGTAGCGAGGTCAGCTGGTAGAACCTTTTTCAGACAAGATGAAAGAATTTTGTTTTAAACATCTCCAAATGGAAGTGCCCAGCAGCAGTTGGAGTCTAGGAGCTCAGGAGATAGGTCAGGGTTGCTCAAAGTTCAGATCCCAGTCTCATTCTCTCTATTGTCACCGCTGGAGAGCCCATCTACTTTCTTAGCTTCAGCTGTGGCCAGAATAGTGCAATGTCATGAAGCCCAAGGAAGGGAGAAGAAGAAAGAGATGTGCTTACAGCTGCTGGAGGGACTGAAGGTCTGAATCTCCTAAATCACAAGAAAGGGCCATGTGATTTGGCCATTGGGAGAGAATTGTGATCTTCAAGAGATGTCATTTCAGCTTGGAGATTTGTGGGTGTGTGGTTGGGAAACAGACTGTAGGGAGTTTAGGAGTTAGTGGGTGTTGAGAGAGAGAGGCAGTGAGTGCGGACCATTTAGCAGTGAGAAGAAAACAGGTAAAAGGTAGCTAGAAAGGAGCACAGAGGAACCCAAAGTTCTGCTATTTTTCTTTGAAACTGTTTTCTCAAAAGTCACCATTTCCCTCCTTCTCACAGAATAAAATGTTTGCTCTACTCTTGATTTGATCTCTTTGCAATATTTGACACAGTTGATCTGTTACTACTCCCTTTCCTTAAAACTCTCTTCTCCTGTGGCTTCTATGACAGACACTATTCTGATCTCCTACATGGCTGACCACCAACTCTCTCTTTTTGCCTTGCTGGCTCCTCTTCTCCTACTTATATCTATACATGTCTTCTAAGCCTCTGGCCTTGGCCCTCGGCTCTCTCAAACAGCCCATGCATCTAAGCTGATGATTTACAAAGCTCCATCTTGCCACTTCGAACAGCCTATAGGGCATCTTTACCAGACCAGTTTTCTTTTTTAGCCTTGTGTTTCTGAGAGGGGTCCTACATTTCTCCCAGATATTCAGACTGGATGCTTTCAGACATCAGTTACTTTCTTGGCATTTTGGTACATCAAATCTGCTGTATCAATATCAAGTCTTGTCATCTCTTTCTTCGAAACATCTCTGCAGTTCATCCTTATTCGCTATTTTTTTTTTTTTTTTTTTTTGCCACTACCCCCAATCATCTCTAGGCGACATTATTGTAACTAGTTTCTGGAGAGTCTTCCTGACTCTGGTTCTACCGTTCCCAAGTCCCTACTTTTTGTACAGAATAACTAGGTTAATGTTCTGAAATTAAAATTTACTGTGTCACTTCCCTGTGCATAAATATATGATGGCTCCTTATAGCTCCTAGCACTATAGCTGAACTCTTCTGCATGGCTTGAAGAGCATAGAAACAGAGAATCAGAAACAGAAGGGATGCTAGGTATGACCTTGCCTTACTTTCTTTATGATGAAAGAATTGCTATTCAGCATTCTTCACAGATAGTCCACCTGCCTCTCCTTAGAAGAGTCCCTAGATCATGGAGCCTTTCCTAATTTGGTCTCACTCTTTATATTCAATTTTCTTTTCTTTTTCCTTTTTCTTGCTCCATTGCCCAGGACGGAGCTGGAGTACAGTGGCATGATCATAGCTCACTGCAGCCTCGAACTCCTGTGCTTAAGCGATCCTCCTGCATTAGCCTCCTGAGTAGCTGGGACTAGAGGCACGCACCACTATGCCTGGCTAATTTTTAAACTTTTTGTAGAGTCAAGGTCTTGCTATGTTGCCCAGGCTGGTCTTGAACTCCTGGCCTCAAGTGATTCTCTTGTCTTGGCCTCCCAAAGAGCTGGGATTACAGGCATGAGCCGCCACACCCAGTCTCAACTTTGCTTTTCTACTACCTCCACAGTCCATCTCCACTAGTCAGGGTGGTTTCTTCTTAGCTCCCTCCTCTACCAGGTTTGTTCCAACCTCCTTGTCTTTAACCATCTGCTTTGCTGAATGCCTTCCGCTCCCTTTTCTAGTTCTCAAAATCCTACCCATAGTTCCAGGCCTAGTCTAAACATCATCTCTCATGACCCCATTCCTGACCTCTTCGTCTTAACTCGTATTGCATTTATTGCTACCACATAACTAATTTTATCCTCCCCTCACCCCTCACAGAATGTAAGCTCCTTGAGGGGGAAAAAACCCATATCTTAGAATTTGTATCACCCACAGGCTTACCTTACACAGAATTAGTCATAGAGTAGGTTCTCAGTCAATACTTTTTTGGTTTTTTTTTTTGAGACAGGGTCTCACTTTGTTGCCCAGGCTAGAGTGAGTGCCGTGGCGTCAGCCTAGCTCACAGCAACCTCAAACTCCTGGGCTCAAGCAATCCTGCTGCCTCAGCCTCCCGAGTAGCTGGGACTACAGGCATGCGCCACCATGCCTGGCTAATTTTTTTTATATATATTAGTTGGCCAATTAATTTCTTTCTATTTATAGTAGACACGGGGTCTCGCTCTTGCTCTCTTGCTCAGGCTGTTTTTTTTGTTTTTTTTTTTTTTTTTTTTTGAGACAGAGTCTCACTTTCTTGCCAGGCTAGAGTGAGTGCCTGGCGTCAGCCTGGCTCACAGCAACCTCAATCTCCTGGGCTCAGCGATCTCACTGCCTCAGCCTCCCTAGTAGCTGGGACTACAGGCATGCGCCACATGCCCGGCTAATTTTTTTGTATATATATTTTTAGTTAGTCAATTAATTTCTTTCTATATTTTGGTAGAGACGGGGTCTTGCTCAGGCTGGTTTTGAACTCCTGACCTCGAGCAATCGCCCGCCTCGGCTCCAGAGTGCTAGGATGACAGGCGTGAGCCACCGCGCCTTCAGGCTGGTTTTGAACTCCTGACCTCAAGCAATCTGCCGGCCTCGGCCTCCCAGAGTGCTAGGATTACAGGTGTGAGCCACCACGCCCGGCCTCAGTCAATACTTAATGATTAATAATAGATAGGCAACCTTAGGGCTAGAGAGGTGAGATCACACAGCAAGTCAGTAACCAAGTTTATGATTAGAAATCACAGTCCCTGTGTCCCTGTGCTGCAGTTTGGGCACATATGAGCCAGGCCTGATGAGAATGCTTCAGGGATGGGCCTAGGTCTTAGGCCAGAATAGAGCCTCCTTCCTGAGCCTGAGGAGCAGGAAGAATTACCTCGGTAGTCCAGGGCAGGGGCCTGTGGGACCTCTTCTGCATATACTTCATTGTAGCTTTCATCTGGATGGTAGCCCGAACCTATTATAGAATGAAGAGGACAATATCAAGATGGTGCTTTGCTTTCTCCCTCAAGTCCTTCCCAACCTTCTTCCCCTCCCACTGCCCATTCAACTTTGTTCCTGAGGACATGTGCTCCATGCGTGGGGTAGGAGCCATGTGAATATTTTGTGGGGGGAGATTTTTCCTTGTAAGGCAGTAGAACTACTGTGGGCAAAAACCTCAGCACCTCAGGTGCATACAGGGCAAGATCATGGTCAGGGGGCTCACTGGTAGCACTAGAAAACTCCATTCAAAAGAAAAAAATAATCAAACTTCTTGACCACTCATCAATCCCATCAATCTGGCCTATGTATAACCCATTTTCCTGATGCAACACCTGAGTCTTGGTGAGTCACTGATTACCAAGCTCTGAGGATGGATTGTGGTTCCAGCTTGGAGAAGAAAACAGAGCCTGAGTAAGTGTGTTCTCCCTAGTGACAGGCCTGCTCACAGTCCTCAGAGGGAAACAATAACTGGAGCTCCCACTAGCCCACAGGGCATGAGCCTTTTTGCCATCTGATTGCCTTTGCTGAAGGTGACATGCCAAGGCAGAGAGGGATGGCTCAAAAAGGCAAGGAGAAATGAGAACAGTTTCATGAGCACTTTGCCCTGGTTTGGAGAAAAGAGAAGGGAGAGTCCTTTGGATAAATTTCCTGTTTCTCTAATCAGCAGGGGCTTTAGTAAGGAGCTGCTGAGCTTAAAGAACATTCCTAATCTACTTCCGTCCAGTTAAATGGCACAGTCCCTGATGGAGGCAGGTCTGTGGCTGTCTGGGAGACTAAACAGTATGTTCCACCAGACGGCAGGAAATCGGTCATGAATACGAACTAATTGGAAAACAACTTGGTCCTTTCCGGAGAGAAGTTTCCGGAAGCCCTGCTTTTAGCCTCCCTGAGCCCTAATGCACGCACAAGAATAGGGCAGCCAGTCGTGCTGGAGTCAGAAGACAATTCCCCATTTCCAGGAGAGGGTGTGCTTCCAGGACAGGGCTGGGTTATAGTGCTAGAGACCTTTGGCCTGTTAAAACGCTCAGACCACAAACTTGCATGCCTCCTTGCTGGGAAGAGGCACAGGGCCCCCTGCACTGAAGGGTGGAGCAGAGGGCTAGATGATGAAGCTCCTCCGTTTGCCACTAGCCCAGACTAAAGATGGGGCGGGTGAGGTGTTGGGAAACCAGTCCAACTTGGTGAACAAGGGAATGAATCAAATTGAAAGTTTGCCCTATGAAATCATGTCCTTGTTGGTTTGTCCTCATTCCAGAGGAAAGAGTTCATTTTTTCTCTTTCCCTTTCTTTCTTTTTTTTTTTTTTTCCTGTTTTCCCATTTCAATTCTTCTGGCTTCCCTTTATTTTCCCTTAGGCCTCATCTCCCCTTTTTCCCACATGGGAGATTTCCCTGTGGGGGTCATGGAATTCTTGTCAGCTGTTTCAGTTTAGTATTAGTCTCCAAGCCTTCCAGCTCCTGTAAACAAGAGGCCAGATGTGTATGATTCCCTAAAATATTAGGTCTCCCCACTCTTGTTCTAGAGCTGGCTGTAGAAGTGCTTAGCAGGGAGCAAACATCTGTTTACCAGAAGAGAAAAATGGGAGTGTCAGAGGCCTATGGCTGAATAATAGTAACAACATGACAACGACAATGACCATTAACATCACTCAGCTCTGACTCTGGGTTAAGCACATTACATATGTTAGCTCGTTATGTCACCATAACATCTCAGTAGGATAGACACTACTAATATTCTCCAATGTACAGATGAAACAGCAGGTTCAGAGGAATCAAGGGAGTTGCCCAAGATCTCACAGCTACTAAGTGGCAGAATGGGTCTGTCTGACCCCTTGTTATCAGACTCAGACATTCTACTAAAGATGGTGGTTAGGGAGAGCTTTTAACAATGTCCAGCAGGGATAAAAATCCAAAATCTTTCTTGCAACCCAGTTTTTTTACTCTGTGTCTATGGGACTGAAGACCACCAAGTATTTTACATCATTCCAGAATTACAGGGCATGCGGGAAAACTGAGGGGAAGACTCAATCAGATAATTACAGTGTCCATTAGGGTGTGGAGGTAGCTGGGCCAGTGCCAAGTTTGCTTTGTGCTGGGAATGGGCTCAGGCTTCCTTACCACTTTAAACTTTTCCATTTCCTCACTTTGCCTGTCTTTAAGCATTTTTGGAAATGTTGGAATACTGAGATGGGGTATAAGAATGAAACTAGAGGGACGCTCTATCTACATCAGGGGTCCTCAAACTTTTTAAACAGGGGGCCAGTTCACTGTCTCTCAGACTGTTGGAGGGCCATGGGAGAGTGTGGTGCACATTCCACACATGCACACTGTGGGCCCAGGACCAGTCAGCTGCAAAGCAGGACAGGCAGCAGCAGCAAAAACACCCTGCGGGCCACAGTTTGACTACATTATTCTATCTGCTTGTCCCTCTTCAGCCCTGGAGGGAAGGGCTTGGGCAGCATTCCTTAGTTCCTTTAGATCAATCAGGTGCTGGTTACTGTGTGGTCTGCTACTGGGTTCCTCTAATCTTCATAGCACAGTCCGGCCCTCTAAGCACTGCATTTCGCAAAGGTATGGTTGGAAATGTAACTGATAGTTGAAGACTATTTTAAGATCCACATTAATGCTTAGCTTATGATGACAGAAACAGTCTGACTTTCTGAGCTGCACAGATATGCCAATACATACTTTTTTTTTTTTTGAGACAGAGTCTCACTTTGTCGCCCAGGCTAGAGCGAGTGCCATGGCGTCAGCCTAGCTCACAGCAACCTCAAACTCCTGGGCTCAAGCAATCCTCCTGCCTCAGCCTCCCGAGTAACTGGGACTACAGGCATGCGCCACCATGCCCAGCTAATTTTTTCTATATATATTAGTTGGCCAATTAATTTCTTTCTATTTATAGTAGAGACGGGGTCTCACTCTTGCTCAGGCTGGTTTCTAACTTCTGACCTCGAGCGATCCGCCCAGCTCGGCCTCCCAGGGAGCTAGGATTACAGGCGTGAGCCACTACGCCTGGCCTCAATACACACTTTTGACTCACTCTTTGCTTTATTTATATCCTTAACCCTTCCCAACCCCTGGACTCTTTTTCTTATTAGCCCTGAATCCACACTTGGCCGCTTTCCTTGTACCTCGCCCATTTGAGGACAAGGCTATAGAAGTGAACAAAACAGTCCCAGATACATAGAGAGTGCTCAATAAATATTTGTTGAATGAATGAATGAACAAATGGACAGAGGCAAGCCCAGAAGCTGAGCTAGCAATGTAGGGGAGAATCATTGGAACTCCAAATGCCTCTCATGTAGCCTCCTAAGAATAGAAGATGGTAGAATGAGTGGGTTTGTAGGGCTGTCAGAGACCTCACTAAGCTTGACTCCTCAGAAGGAGTGACCTGCTGATTCATGTGGAAGTGGGGAGTGCCATCTTTGCAAACATCCTTTGAGAACCCCAAATGAATATGTTTTTAAAAACTGCCTTTGCATGCCATGAGGTTTCATACAGGTGTTCAAAATTGGGCTTTGAGCCATCTAATCTCCCTTCCCTTAGTCCTGTGGTCTTTGGCTGGATTTTGGTCTTCTGTACTTGAACTAAAGCTAAGGGGAGAGTGAGTGGTGGGGTGGGCAGCTGCATATTTATCTCCTGGAGACTTGGGGCTCATTTACCCCCAAACAGTGTGTGCTCTGCCAAGGGCTTGACTTGAATTTTTTCATCTCAATGTCAGCCCTTGTGTTTCACCCCCTACAAAGCCAGGTTAAGCCAAAGAGGGGAAGAAGTTTGCATATTTGTTTGAAAGCTTGATGCAGCTGTTCCAGATAAACAGAGCTACTGCCAAAGGCCTCCACCAGGAGCTAAGGGCATGTGGAAAATTTTAGCCGCAATGACTGTGGCTGTGATGGGAGCAGTTTGTTATTTACTCATCTCTGGATATTTTCCTAACCCCATTGGTTGGGCCTGTCTCCTTCCCCTACTCCCCACAGCCCCTGTGAGGGCAGACACTGCAGGCCACAGAATATTCTTAGCAATTGGAATGCCAGCTGGGCCCCATCAAAAGCCTCTGTATGCCACCTTATTATCCTTCCATCATGCCTCCCCCCTCTCCCTGTTCCTCTCCTCACTGAGTCTTTTCTCTTTAGCTCCCTATGTCTCTAGGGGTGAAGGGTGAAATGTTCAGGAATCCGGAAATCTCCATGCCTTCTGAAGTAAGGAACAAACCAGAAGAGACTGGGGAATTCCTGATTAAGAGAATGTGATCTGTATTACTATTAACAGCTATGGCAGAAAGCAGCTACAAAAATATCATTTTATAAAATAAGGTCGGGGAGGGGGAGAGAGAGAGAGAGAAAGAGAGAGAGAGAGAGAGAGAGAATGGAAGGTCTGATGGATTCTTGTTTCCCTTGAATAGATTGTCTCTCTTATTTTTTCCAAATGAGATATGTGGTCTAAGTCCTATTTTTGTGGTCTTGACAAGGGTATTTGACTCATACAGAAATTAATATTAATAAGGACCAGACTCATAAAGAAATTCATATTAGAAAATGGTTTTCAGGAAGCTAAGTGGAGAAGCAGGAAAGACAAGGGTCTCAAAGACCATGTTGTCCAATGTTCTCATTTTTGTGCTGGCATAGCCTATGTTCAAACAGCTCTTGCTAGGGTGCCTCAAAAGCCACCCTTGGTAGTCTGTTGCAATGTTTAAAAATCTTTATTGTCTTTTAATAGTTCTTCTCTGTATTTAAAATAGAGGTCTCTCATTGTAGTCTAACTCGTCCCTCCTCCAAGTCTTAGTCTAGGCACTGCCCTTCCTGGAAAAATCGACAACAGCCTTTAGAACTTACCTGCATACCATGTTGCTGTCACTGCTGGAGTTAAGAAGAACAGCAGAGAGAGGGCTCCTCTTTGAGTTACTTGACTGGCCATCCTTGAAAGGGAGAGTTAGGGAGACAAGAATAGAGGTATGTGACCTGAAGTACCAGGGCAAAGGAAAATGACTTTTAGAAGTCAGCCATCAATGAATTTCCAAAAGTGAGGGGAAGCAGAAATACAAGATCTGTGAAGAAGAAGAGAGATTTTATAATGAAAATACTATGAAATTAAAAAAAATAAAATTAATGAATGTCTGTTATATCATCCCCCTCATAAGGATCTTCCATTTTATAGAATGATAAGACTATATTTGTTATTTGTGGTCCCTTTTCCTCCCAGGAAACATTCAATCTTCAACTGATTCGGATGCAAATGCTCAACAGTCCAAGTTACAGAGAGGGACACTGAGGTACTGAGACTAGAAAAAGGCCAACATAAAGTCACATAGAACCAGAAGGTAAATTGGTGATCTAAAGGCTGCCACTTAATGGTTCCATCCATTCACCTAGCATTTCCTAACCACTAATCTGGGAAAATGGTAACATACATGGTCTAACAGCTTGAACTTTGGAGTTACACAGATCTGTATGTAAATCCAATTTTGTCACCTGTTGTCTGTGGGGCCTTAGATAAATTCCTTAACTTCTCTGAACCTAAGTTTCTTCACCTATAACATGGGAATAATAATAGTATCTACCTTATAGAATTGATTATTGCATGGCATATAGGGAAGCAATCAATATTTATGTTAGACAATGTTATTACTAACTCTGTATTTGACAGGCCTGGATGTTTTCTTACCTAGTTTCCCAGGCAGTAACTATATTCTGGCTCTCTTCTTAGCTTTGGGTTTTGAGGCTTAGTGGTTTGGTAGTGGCTTTTGGCTTTCAGGTCCAGCCTAACCTTCTAGTTTCACCCTGCTGAGCCAGCAGGAAGTCAGCGAGGTTGGGGAGGACCTACAGAGGTACATGAGGAGAAGGTGAGCAGGCTCCAGGGGCCCTCTCACTTCCTGCCCTGTCCTCACTCTAATGGGATGAGAGTTCTGTGGTTCCCAGTGGGCAAATACTTCATAAATGACAGGATTAAAACTTACTGCCCATTGGTATAAACTGGCCACTGGACCTTCTAGTAAGCACCCATTTACCCACATGCTTTCAGTGAAGAGCCATGCTCAGGGGAGCAGTCAGTCCCAGAAATGGAGAAACAAAAAGATGGCAGATTCTGGCCAGAGTCCCTCAGTGACGTGCAAAGTCCAAGAAAGGCAAAAATTCATTTTCCAATTCATTGCTACTTGGCTTCAGATTTTGTCTAGAGAGTGGCAAGGAAGCAGGATCGAGAAAAAAAATGACAGCAAGTGAAGGAGGCAAGGAAAGTAGAAAGATGTGGGAAGGAAGCTAGAAAGAAAAGCAAGTCTGACAGAGCTGAAGGAAGGAGATGGATAAAAGCAGGAGGAGGCAACAGAAGGAGAAAGAGGAGATTAAAGAGAGATCCAGGAAAATGAACAGCTAGATAACTGATTACTGACACCACTCCCGCATCCAGCCTCCATCCAGTTCCTTTGTTCTGGAACAGGGACTTTCGTTCTTCAGACCTGACATTCTGAGTCTGTGACCTCTTACCTGCCAGCTCCTCCCCAGTTCGCAGACTGAAAACGTGACTCACTAGAGTCAACCATCCCTCTGCTGTGGGCTGAGAAGGTAGCGGGAACATGTGTTTGCAGCCAGGTCACGGCACAAATGAAATGCAGCTTATGATCCAGTTTCATGAAAGAGCTTCTCCCCCTGTAACCTCAGTCACGTTCCCCAAGTCCTGGGTCTTTTTGTCCCCTCCATGATTGTGATCTGGGGTAATGTAGCGTGGAGGGGTTAATTGCAAATCTTACCTGTTTTATGGTCTTTTGTGCTCTCTTTCTCTTTCCTTCTTTTTCTTCTTCCTTTCTGCTTCTCTCATCAGTTGAAAAAAACTTCTACTTTAACATTCCTAGAACGAGTGGCTCCTGGTCTGTCCGGGCCTCCGGGATTCTGTTAACACTGCCCAGATGTTAGGACGTCTGCATCTGCCAAAAGTTTCCTTAAAGCTATATTATCCCCACAGCTATAGTTGTTCCTCCCTCAGAGAAGGGTTTTAGAGAGATGGAGGAGAAGGAACGTAGGGATTAGAGAAACTCACGTCTGTCTGCTGCGGAACAGGGGGAAGTGTGAATGGCACTGGCTCCAAGCCCGTGAGTATAGTGATGACTAACAGAGGCTGGCTAAAGGGCCTCCAGAGATGTGTTGCACTGAAGAACACTTTGTATGACTCAGCATGACATCAGGATTGAATGAAAAGGAATTTCAGAAACTCCAAGGAGAGGGGAAGAGCGTAGCTCACTTGGACATTCCCTGGAGATTTCTCCTATAATTCCTTAGACTCTTCAACTCTGAGTTGCCTTGCCATCTACATGGTACAGGGTCAGCCATACTTTGAACCCCTCGCTCTGGTGATCTAACTTCTCTGGACTTCAGTTTCTGATAAGATTATGTTGTTTACAAAAAATACCATGTGCTTCCTGCCTGAAGAATGAAGACTGACAGTCCATATTAAGGATGGAGGGAAAGCATACCTAAGGAAGATTTAGTGGGAGGCTGTTTAAGTGAATCTAGATGATACGTGCATGGGAAGATTATAGCCATTGCTAAACTGTTTCCCATTGGTCTCTGATGGAGGGCTGACGTTTCTCTTCACTAAGCATGCTTTCTTCATTTTAGTATTTGATAATGAGACTATTCTACCATAGTATAGACCCGCTCCTTGCTGTCTCCCTCTCCTCACAGTTGACATTTCCATCTGTTGAAAAATCAGTGGTTGTAGAAGAAAAATGTTAACGTTGATATAGAAACGGTTTCTCCCCTGCGTATGCAAGGATATTGATAACCCCTTCTCAGTCATCAGGGGAAGAATTGCACTTGCAATAATACAAAATTCAGAAGCATACCTGAGTCTATTTCATTTCCAATCTACCCATCACAAATACGTATTGAGTATCCACCGTGTGTTTAACAGTGTGATATCAATATAAAGAAGCTGAAGATATGATTTTGATCTCCTTCATTCAATACGTTTATCAAGCATATATCATGTCAGGAATGATGGATATAGTGGGGAATAAGACAGACAAAATCCCTGGCATCCTGACCCATAATTAATTCAACAACCATTTGTTGAGCATCTATTAATATTATGTGCCACACATTGTTCTAGGAAGAAACATCAGTGGAAAAAACAGACAAAAATCCCTGCCTTCATGGAATAGAGGAGACAGACATCAAACAAAAATGTTCTTAATTACACTTGCGTGTTTAAGGAATCTTTATTGGTCATCCACTATGAGCTAAGCACTGGGGATACAGTGATGAGAGAGAAATGCGTGATCTTTGATCTTATGGAGCTTATTTGTCAGCTCCCACAGAGTGTGTGTTTAGTACAGGAGAGAAGGGGGCGGCAATCAATTAGAAAACAATATAACACCATACAGTAAAAAAAGCACCAAAAGCTGTATAGTACAGACGTGGAAGACTCTAGGAGGAGGTCAGAGGAGCAGGGCACCTCGGAGGAGCTTGGCCTTGGTCTAGTCTCAGGCAAAGCAAATGACATAAACAAGAGTTCACTGTTAGGTCAGAGGGGGATGGGCAGTCTGGTAAGAGGGTTCAGGGAGTGAAGGGAAACAAAGTTGAATAAATAGGGTAGGGTCAGAAGATCAAATATAGGAGTTTATTCTAAACTCCTGTGTTTGGAAATAGTGAATATGTTAGGTGTGAGTGTGTGTGTGTGTGTGTATGTGTGTGTGTGTGTGTGTGAGAGAGAGAGAGAGAGAGAGAGAGAGAGAGAGAGAGAGAGAGAGAGAGAGAGAGAAAACACGAAGTAATTAATTCTACCAGGGATGTTTTCTTTCTTAAAAACCCCTTCCCTGGCTCCCTCTTGGCATCGAGTATAGTCCAAGCTCCTTAGCATGGTATAGCATGCCCTTCACAGGGAAAACCCCAGCTATTTCTTCAGTCTAGTTTTGAACATTCACCCCCATGACTCCCCATTCTGGACCCACTGAGCCACTTGTTCTTCCTTTCACACCTTGGTGCCTTTGCACAGGCATAGTAAATTTATTTTTCTTTTTTTGAGACAGAGTCTCACTCTGTGGCCCAGGCTAGAGTGCTGTGGTGTCAGCCTAGCTCACAGTAACCTCAAACTCCTGGGCTCGAGTGATCCTCCTGCCTCAACTTCCTGAGTAGCTGGGACTACAAGCATGCGCCACCATGCCCAGCTAATTTTTTTCTATGTGTTTTTAGTTGGCCAATTAATTTTCTTTCTATTTTTCAGTAGAGACAGGGTCTTGCTCTTGCTCAGGCTGGTCTCGAACTCCTGAGCTCAAGCGATCCTCCCACCTCGGCCTCCCAGAGTGCTAGGATTACAGGCATGAGCTACCACACCTGCCCCTAAATTTCTTAAAGTTATTAAAGTTCAGTACCATTTTCAACTTTAAGACTTTTAATAAAAAGCCTCTCAGCAGTCAGTAAGGTCTTGTTTTAAGAAATATTAGATATGGAAACTGACTTACCTAGGTGAGATCTCAGTAAAGCTCAACTAGGCTAGATTATTAATAGAAATAACTTTCTTAGAAAATGGACATGGAATTATGAATTTTAATACCATTCAAAACAGTTTCTCATTTCTTTGTGTCCCAAACTGTATATTATGAGCTTTTGTGGAAAAGATAAGATCAGGGATGGAAAGAGAGGAAAGCACTCATGTAGAATCTTAAAGGAGTGGGATGGAAAAAAGTAAATGAAAAATAGACACAGAAGAGAATTTCAGAGAAGGATAATGGGAATACACAAGAGATAATAAGAATAAAAAGACATTCCTATTCCAGAAACTAATTTTTAAAACTGTAGATATGAATTAACTGTTTAAATGAACTGTTTAAATGATGAGGTGTCTGATGGTTATAATATAAAATGAGATTTTAAGAAAATAAGTAGGAGGTGCTTTTAAATTCCATGATAGGCACTTAGCCAAAGGTAATTGAAGGGATGCTAGAAAAGGGATTAGAAAATGAAAATGGTAAGGTTATTATGTGAATAAAAGATAAGATAGATTCTGAGTGAAATGGTTGATGTCTTTTTACTGGTTCCTAAGACAGAGAGTAGGAATATCCCAAGACATTATCCAGCAGCTCAATTTAATTTTCCTGTTTTATGACAGTGTGATACTGGGATGGCTTAGACATTTAGCTTTTTATTTAATTTCAGTAATCAATCCTTGAGTAACTACTAGGTGGTTACCCCCAGAGACCAGCTATGACCTCAACTGAGCAATCAGTTCAACATGGATTGGCCAAGCACCAAAAGAGCTCATCAATTGAGCATTATGTCCTAGGATATTGAGGAGAGTATAAAAGGGGGCACAGGGGCCCAGCCACACTAGCTCTGCCGTAGTTTCTTTATATCTAGATGACAGGATGTAACATAGGTAAGTAGAAATGCAAAGCTGGCCCTGCAGTAATTGACTGAGGGTCTGAGTTAATGTGAGTGTGTGGTCAGACTACAAGTACTGATGTTAGAGAAAGAGGTGGGATGGGGGAAGGGGGATGTTCTCACCGAGCTATGGTTGAGCTGGACATTGAGCAGGAGCAGAAATTTTGAATGAGGTTAGAGAGTGGGCAGGGAGTAGGGAACAGGCCTTGCTTACTGGCCTGGTATAGAGCAGAAAATTCACACTAGAAAAGTAGTAGGAAAACAGTTGAGATCATATAGGTGAGAGGGGATTGGTGAGGATGGGGTGGGTTGGAGGTGGGGGGGGCACAGGGAGGTCTGACTTAACAGTGAGCTCTTGTTTATGTCATTTCCCTTGCCTGATGTCTGCCAATGAAAAACATTTACACCTAATTTTGTAAGGTTACAGGAAGTTAATAGGGAAGGGACACAAGTCCCTACTAAATGTTGAATGTAAAACAAGCAGCAACAATACTTAGGGCAAGTATTTTCCTTTTTTCCCTACATTTTTGGCATTGAATATGTTTTTGTGCTCAGAAAGAGGGAGAAATTAAGAGGTTGAACCAGAAAAAGTATTGAACTCTTTATCTCACCACTCTGGGGCAAGCAAGGTTACTTCCTATGTGATTGGGCTATTGGACTGAAGGCAAAAGTAAAACTCAAGGAAAAAAGAAACAAGTTTAAGGCAGAATTGGGGGTCATCGAGGTCTTCGTGCTTCAGGAGTTCTGAGGAGCTCTTGTTTGTGGCTAGATGTCTGGACAACAGCAGTCTCTGCTCAGGTTATTCCGAGCTGTGACAGCTGTTTGTACAACAGCAGCCACGTCTCATCACAAAGTGGGCCCCATTTCTGATGAAGGAAACAGAAGTTGGCTGGGCTAAGACCTAGGCAGGTTCCTTAGCCTCTTTCAACCTGTTTCTTCATCTGTAAAATGAGGCAGTAGTAGTGTCGACCTCGTAATAGAGTTTTTGTGATGCACGCATGAGGTAACATGTATCAAACTCTTAGCAACAGCAATTAGTACATAGTCAATGTTCACTATGACAGTTATTATAATACCTTACAGAATAAACTTATGTAATGTCCTAAGGAAACATTTCTTAAATTGCCTTAGATGGGATTAGATGCCCCTTTCATCAGGGTTTGTACCCAGACCCAGGTCTAGGTTTGAACTAAATTGAACTTCTGGGTTTAGTGGCATGGCGGTGGGGTTTGGGGGGGGGGAGTGAGCGTAGCAGGGTTGGAGGCAGTGCTGCAAGGTGCTGTGGCCATAGGAACATGAATTTCCATGTCAGCCTTTGGTTTAATTTGGCACTGACTTTTGTTCCAACAAGGCGGCGTTGTGAGTGGCAGAGGAAAGGAGCAGAGGAAAGTCAACACATTCTTGGAAATAAGATGGGGCTTTTGCTTTGCTATTTTGTTTTTTCTTTAGCCACAGAAATATTTCTTTGCTCCTGGGCTCACAATGAAAATCCCTTCCAGGACGCGGCACAAATCTAAGCTTCAGGGGAAACTTCTATTTAAAATGAGAAGAAGTTAGCAAGCCTTCCTTTGATACTTGTTTTGACTACAAGGATTCCTCCGATAGGGTCATTTAACCTAGGGAGAAAGCTTTGCATAAGCTTAGAGTCCCTTGATCCCACCTCACCTCCTGTAGCTATGGCATATGTGGTACTTTAAAAATTGAATATCTGCTATTTCCTGAAGACTTTGCCTCAAAGCATTTATAGGTGTCTAGAATGTATATAGATATATCATTTACCCATTCTCTCTATATATTTGGGTTTTAGATTTCTAATTTTAGGATAAAATTTAGTATAAAGCCTGGCAGTGCAATAATTCATTCTCCAATAGTCGCTCCCTTGTACCTCAGACGTCTGGCGCGATGTTATAGGAACTGGTCCTAGGTCAATACTCAAAGCACAGGGAAGCTCTGTGTGACCAAGTCAATGGAACTTTCCTGCTTTCTGGTTCTGTGGTATATGTTTAAAGCAAGGTTTCAAGCAGAAAAGTTTGAGCATTCACCTCTCCACAAATGCAGGTTTTTTTTGCAATAGCAATACAGTAAATGGTCACTTGTGCTATTAAGCTTATGTCAATGATGATGGGATGGATTGGATAGGGAACTGATGTAGCCTTCCAAGCCCATTCTTCTAGAGATAACACATATTCAATCTCTATCCTCAAAGAGCTTACATTTTAGTTGAGAAATTAGACCTTAATACACATTCTTTGCTGTAACAACATAGACCAATATATTCACAATAAGTTACATTGAAACGTGGACCTGCATACATAATTTAATAGGAAAAATTACTACACATCATTTCCATACTTTAATGCCATTTATAGTTTGCTAGAGTCGTCGTAAATTTCCTTTAGAATTAACTTGTTTTCGATTGAAAAAAATAGATATCAACCATATGGATAAAGGAGCATACAAATCTATAGTGTTGTTTGTGTTAGGTTTCAACTTAGATTTCCTAGAGATAACTATTTTTCCCCATATAAGGATATATTTTTAGGGAGGGAGCAGGAAAGCCTAGAGAAAGTTTCACTAACTGTGTATTTTCCACTAAACTGAAATTGAGTCTTGATACCCAACAGTGTTCTCTTTCTTTTCTCCTGGATTACATCTCTCCTGCATTTCTAGAAGGATGAATGCTGAGGATTGAACTAATGTCCCTGAATAAAAAGGGAGATCAGGATGCCTATACCACTTTGTTAATTCATTTGTATTTAATTCATTTTGTAAATGTGTTTTAAAACTGACTAGATGAAAAAGGCACCCTGAGATTCCCATGAGAAGTAAATGACCTATTTAAATTGAGGGCAATTTGAATGGCTCATTTGGTCACTCTTGAAGCCTAAAAGATGCCAGAAAGCAGGAAACAGTGCAATGTGTAATGTCTAGGCTCATTTTTCCTCTTTAATGAGAGGCATAGAATTAACCCATTATATTTATGGCTCAATAAATGTGTGCATTTATTCTTAGGTACCAGACAAAGTGCTTCCACATACATCTCTTAAGAAACAGCTTTATTCCCATTTTACAGATGTATCAAAGAACTGTAAATAATCTCTAAGGCTCTGCTGATTTGCAAAATCCAAGTTTTTTGGACCTTTGAACTATTTGGAGATGAATCCAAAAACAAAAGAGCCTCAGGTTTTGTCTTACCACTAGGTGATTTTTTTTTTTTTTATTATTCCACTGTACTGCTAAATTTGATGAAAGGCTTCCTCTGGACTGGACATAGGGGACAGAAAACTTTGGTGATTTATTCCCATCTTATAAGCAGTTTAACTCCTTATGAACAAAACATAGTCTCAAATTCCAGGAAGATCTAAACAACTGGAATTTCCTTTGGCAGGGAGCAGACATAGGCAGCTTGTATAATAGACCAGGCAGCCTGAATTAGAAAGCACAGTAATCTCTAGTTTCGGCTTTGCTATTAGCTGTGTGACCTTAGGTTTTAACCTCTCTGTGATCAGCTCGTTCTTGATGGGAAAAATTAGGGGGGGCTGGAATTTACAATGCATTTTGGTTTTAACATTTAAGAGGAGGTCACATTTACCTGTCATTTTCCATAGCGCCCCCTCTTTCTAACAGTTTGCAGCTAATAGCTGAAATTACATTTCACTATTGTTTACATTTAAAACACTTTCCCTGTGGATGGAACAAAGCCAAACTTTGTAAAATAATTTTAAAGAGATTTATTCTGAGCCAAATTTGAGGACTATGACCCAGAGCCATTTCCAAGAAGCCTAGAGCAGCAAGTGGACTCCATGTGGTTAGGTTACAGTTTGGTTTTATACATTTCAGGAAGATGGGTTACAGGTAAAGTCATAAATCAATATGCGGAAGGCATACAATGGTTTGGCCTGAAAAGGTGGGCCATCTCCAAGCTAGGGAGCTTACAGGTTATAAGGTGAGTTTAAAGATTCTTTGGCTTGTATGTAATTGGTTAAAGACATGAAGCTTTGTCTAAAGGCTTGATATGTTTCAAAGTAAGGAGCTGTTATCAGAGATAAGCCACTGGACACAGATTTGTTGTGTAAATTGAGGATCTGCAAGTTTGTCTTGCAAATCCTTAGGCCTGTTAATGGGTTACAAAGGATGTCCCCAAGAAGAAGGGCCGCATGATGTCTGACCTCCTTCCTCTTGACAAACAATTTAGTTTTAGGATATTCCTTTGGCCACCAGGGGGTCCATTCAGTCAGCCGGTGGGGGTGGGGGAAGTGAGCCTTAAAATTTTATTTTAGTTCACACCCTCAACTTTCCAATTTTTTAGGGGATAAGAGAGGAGAGGGATAATGGAGTTTTGCAAACTACTGTAGGGAAATTTAAAAATTTATTATTACCTTTAATACCTAGCTTTGGAATTCTTTCAACAAGTGGTAATTAGTTCCCTCAAGTCATTCGTTCTTGTGTCCACTCTCCACCCCATAAAACAATGCTCACAAATTGAAAAGCACAAAACCAGTGAAAAAAAAAATCAGCCTAATTCCACCAGAGGTAAATTTCGCTTTTCCTTTCAGTTTTTGTCTAAGCACATGCGGCTGTATGTATTGCTTTGCAATCTGCTTTGTTTCTTTTTGGAAATATATTTCTTGTAGGTATTTTCCCATGTATTTTCTTCGGTCACTTTTAGCCTCTTTTCATTCTTTTCTTTCCCTCTAGGGCACCAGGGACCGGGGAGGCCGAATCTCAGAGCGCTGCTGGCTCTGCTGGTGATAGAAACAATATGATAAAGTTACAAGGGGAGGGGAGGGTTGGGGGGGGGCGGGAAAGATTCTTTGGGAGAGGAAAAAAAAAAATGAAGAAAGCTCCACTTGAAGACCTATGAAATTTCCGACACTAGAACCTTTGTACATAGTTTTCAGTAACCTTCGGCAGGGGGCGCTCGGAAATTGTCGCCACTTTCCGGACAGCCTCTCGGACTTTACCCTCTAGAAAATTGAACAGCGTTTCCGGCTCTTCTCAGTTGTAGACGCTCGTAAGTTTTCGGCAGTTTCCGGGGAGACTCGGGCACTCCGCGTCTAGCTCACTCTGCTCCGATCACCAGTAAGGTGGTGCAGGGTCTCAGGCTAGTCATGGCGTCCCCGTCTCGGAGACTACATACTAAACCAGTCATTACTTGTTTCAAGAGCGTCCTCGTGATCTACACTTTCATCTTCTGGGTGAGAGACGGAGGCGCCCGGGTGCGGCAGGGGATCCCGGGCTTAGGTGGGGGTGTGTGACCCTAGGCGCTTGGAGTTCAGGTCGGGGGTGGAGTGGCATTTGGACGGCCATCGCTCCTAGGACCCTGGCTCTGGCGACGACGGGCGTTGGGACCTGAGCTCCAAGCTCGGGCATCTCGCCGGCGCCGGGGTTGGGGTGCGCGACGGAGGCAGCCCAGAGGCTGAGCTGGGACCTAGACTTGCCAAGCGTTTGAGTTCGATAGCGGGAGGCGAGGAAGGGAGTTAAGTCCCCAGAGCACGCTCAGGGTGTCCCTGGACCGTTGGGGAGGCTAGCTTGTCGGGCCCCTTTGAGGGCTCGCTTGCATAATAGTGTCTTTCTTTTCACTGCTTCTTGAGAGGGGAGTGTTTCTCAGGTAAGTATGGTGTGGCTCCACTCCCGCCAATCTGTTCTCTTTGGGTTTGCTTTTGTGTACCCCATTCCTTTGTACCCTGTGCTCATCCCTAAACTGGGGGAGGGGGACGACGAGGGGAAGTTTCTGGAACTCATAGAAACACTCCCCCCCTCCAAGTAGGTTTTCTTTCTAAGGCGGGAGTAAAACAGTTAAAGTTTTGATTCCCCAGGGCATATATGCCATGGGCTTGTCTTTACACACACACAAAGATGAATTTTAAGAATTTTGCTAAGATGCCTTGTCCACCGTTCACCCTTGGATGCAGATCTCCTCCTACTCCCCTCTCCCCTCCCTCCTCGTCTGCCATATCCCTGCATATCACACCTATTGTGTCTTAAATACCTCGTGGTTAGTGATTTGAAGATGCTTCCGTAGACAGTGCATAACTTTTTATTTTCTGATACCCACATAGATCGCTGGTGTTGTCCTCCTTGCCGTTGGCATTTGGGGCAAGGTGAGCCTGGAGAATTATTTTTCCCTTTTAAATGAGAAGGCCACCAATGTCCCTTTTTTGCTGATTGGCACTGGCATTGTCGTTATTTTTTTGGGCACCTTTGGTTGTTTTGCTACCTGCCGGGCTTCTGCGTGGATGCTAAAACTGGTGAGTCCTTGTTTTCCTTCGTATTGATTCTTGATTTTAGAAAAGTCTTATATGTTGTACACTTTGTTTCTTGGAACTGTCCATAGCTCTTTATGATTCTTCCTGTTCTTTATGAAAACTTACCAAGTAACTGTTCAGCTGCCAATTCCCACTTTCAAAATAGTCATTTTATTATTGTTTCCCCTGCCCTTTTCAGTGAAAACATGCTGAACTGATTGAGCATAACACTGTTAATTTTTGACTCCCTTTGCAGCTGTGATATAGCTTGTTTATACTGACCTGGACTTTCTTTTTTATTCCACAGTATGCAATGTTTCTGACTCTCATTTTTTTGGTCCAAGTGGTCTCTGCCATGTTAGGATTTGTTTTCAGACATGAGGTAAGCCTGAATTAGGGAAGCTTAATATATTAAAATTTATCCTTTAAGAGATAAAAACGGATTAATTTAGGTAATAGAGTTAGATCTCTGTATTTAAACCTGTAACTAACAATATGGCTTTCTTGTAAAAATTCTGGCCCACTTTTAATGTAAAAGAAAGTTTAGAAAATTACAAAGTGTCCTGTTAAAGTGGAGATAGTACAATTTGTAACTTTACTGATAGGAAAATATTGAAGGCACAGAATCGATACTTCTTCACTTTTGCCATGTATTTTGAAAAGATTGGATATACTTAATACAAATCATCAAAAGTTTAATGTTGAATTAGAAATCAAGTAAACCTAGGGTTGTTAGGAAGTCATTCAGTGAGTAGTGAAGGTTCGTCAATGAAAGTGTTTTACAAAATGGTAGTGTGGTCTCCCACAATAAGGTTTTGTAGCTTAAAAATTCCATAGGCATCAAATTTGTACTCAGTTTAAAGTAGAGGAAGATGGGAGGGTATAGAATACACCAGTACTGTGCTGCCACTTGGATAAATACATGCTCCCACAGCACTTTGAACTTTTAGTGGTTATCATCTTGTATTGTAATGTTTTACTTAGTAGTCCCCTCAGCTAAACTATATCCCTTAGAGAACAGGATCGGACCATGGAAGTTCATTAGCATACATGTTGCCCCTGTCAGAGATAGGACCATTGTTTGGTTAATGTGAGAACTTCTTATTTGACCTAGAAAACCGAAAGAACTTTCGAGAATATTTGTTTACTGGCATTGTGATTTTTTGCTGTAGATTAAGAACACCTTTAAGAATAATTATGAGAACGCTTTGAAGCATTATAACTCTACGGGAGATTATAGAAGCAATGCAGTAGACAAGATCCAAAATACGGTAAGTAGTTATAGGTGGTAGCTTCTCAAGAGGGGAACACATTCCTTATTGCTTCAGAGAAAAGAATAGAGCCTGGATACTAGATCTTGTCTACTTGTACAGGAAGGAACTGTGACATGCTTTATTTTCCTCACATGTGCATCTGTTTTTTTCCTTCCCCACTTACATCATAGAACAAAGTACTGTTAATATCAACTATAGCGGGAAAGAAAGGCCAGTTCAAAACTGTCATACTTGGTGCTAATAAAGAACCCAGTGCTAATCTCTTGAATCAATTCAGGAGAGAAATCATGCAGTATGATAAATGTTGTTTTGAGCACAAATTGCAATAGAAGATGATTTTAGGGTAAATGTTTGGGTACAAAGTTGTAATATTAAGTATAAATGCTTTTGTTGGACTTTTCAGTTGCATTGCTGTGGTATCACCGATTATAAAGATTGGACAGATACTGATTATTACTCAGAAAAAGGATTTCCCAAGAGTTGTTGTAAACTTCAAGATTGTTCTCCACAGAGAGATGCAGATCAAGTAAACAATGAAGTAAGGAGTCTTTTTAAAACTTTTTATTTGATAATATTTGAGGACTTAACCAAATATAGAGTTGACTCAATTTTTAATTTTTACTCACAGTAGTACACATAACCAGAAGTAGGCTGGGCGAGTAAGACTTGAGTTCACAGAGCTGGCAAGTAACACTTTTAAATGCATAATTCAAAAGGAGGAAATAGTTTAAAATAACAATTGTGTTGAGAATATATGGAAGAGAACAGATTTCAGTAAAATGACAATCAAAGGTTATGGTCCATATGTCTTTCTGCAGAGATATATGATCAAAGTATTTATTGCCATAAGGAAAAGCATACATAGATTGCTTGTGCTATACTTAATCTTTTTTTCCCCTCCTTTAGGGTTGTATTAAAAAGGTGCTGACCATTTTAGAGTCAAAAATAGGAATTGTTGCCGGAATTTCCTTTGGAATCGCTTGCTGCCAGGTAAGTCCTTGTAGTTCTTTAGGAAATGTTTTATCCCTCTTGTAGGCATAAGCCAGAAGATTTTCACTTTTATGGCTTAAACTGTTTGCTTCAGGGGCTTGCACAGTGAGGACATTTTTCAAGTAGTCACATTTTCACAGAACTGTCAGTTACTGGTCACAGTGTAGAAATACTTAGTTTTTCTTATGGTGAAGTCTTGATTGGACTTATTGTGCATATGTAATATTGATTTTGATTTTTGACTGGGTCTTTTTTGTTTTGTTTTTGTTTTGCTTATTTCAAAATATTTAGGGGGTACAAACATTTTTGTTACATGGATACCTTTTATAATGCTTAGGTCAGGGCTTTTAGTGTGCCCATCATCCGAATAGTGTTCATTGTACCCAATAGGTAGGTTTTTACTCCTGTCCTCCTTCTCCCTTCTTGATTTCCAATGACGTTTACATCTCTCTGTGCCTGTGTGTGCCCATTGATTAGCTCCCAGTTATTACGGAGTACATGTGTTATTTGGCTTTCCATTCCTGACATACTTCACTTAGAATAATGGTCTCCAGTTTCATCCAAGTTGCTGTAAAAGACAATATTCATTCCTTTTTATGGCTCAGTAGTACTTCATGGTATATATATATATTACATTTTCTTAATCCACTCATGAATTTTGTTAGATTTGTTTTACTTAGGAAGAGAGGATGTTCTGCTCTTTTCATTCCAGTGTTTTGAGGTCTTGGATTTTATGTTTTCCTATACTGTTTTCCACAACTACAGACTTCTCTAAATTTTATTCCTATTTCATGTACTCTTTACCATGGCCGATCGTGCCTTGAAACTATAAAAAGCAAGATTCAGAATTAACTTGTAGAAGGACATATCTTTTGCAAGCCATTAACTATGGAAAGACTCAGTGCCCTTTTAGTTATGGCAACTTTCCAGCATCATAATTCATTAACTAAACAAAACATTATATAGATGGGAACCTTGTTTTTCTCTGCAGTCAGTCAAGATTCTAAAACATTATTAGGATCTTTCTTTCCTGGGCTACAACTACCTGATGAGTTGCACGTAAGTTCCTACCTACTAAAATTTAGATTACACAACACCACATTCATTACGTGCCTATTATTTTTGGTAGATGCTGTGTTGTAGGTCAAATTCTCAAGTTGCATTTCCCAAGTTGTGTTTCTCACTGTAGCATGAAAAGTTTGTATTGTGGCTCTAAATGATTTTTTTCAGGGCATGAAGTTTTTTTCTTTAGCATTATGGAAATAAGACTAATCTAAATTTAGTCTTAATATATTTTTAAAGTAGCAAGCATAGCTATATATAAATCTGCGCTAATACAAGGCCACTCTTAAAAGGTTATAATTATTAAATAAAATGAAAGCCTCAGTTGCTGGAACCCCAGTTGAAGTACCCAGTAGCCATGAGGCTGATGGACAGAACAGGGATTCTAGAGCATTTCCATCTTTGTAGCACTGGTGTAGATTTTTCCCAGAAAATCTCTGCCTTCATAGATGGAGATTTTATTAGATAAGATGCTTATTGAAAGCCAGGTCCTTGTTTTTTCTGGTAACTGAGAGTAGGAGAAAACTTATGACTTCTTAATTTTCCTTGGGTGAGAGTTTCCTGAACCATTACTGGATTTTCACTTGGTGATAGTTATGAAATTCTGGGTCACATATTCTCTGAATGTGACATAGGTGCTGCAGAATATTACATAACTGTCTAGGAAAACACAAGGAAGGAAATTATTAGTGAATTACAGGTGAAAGGAGAATATATCTATGATTCTGAGGTCTTGGAGCTCTTTTGTGTGTGCATTTAATTTTGTTCATCTTTTATTTCCAGCTGTTTGGAATCTATCAAGCTTACTGCCTCTCTCGCGCCATAACTAATAACCAGTATGAGATAGTGTAACCAGCGGATCTGTGGGCTTACTCCTCTCCAATTTTAAGGTACATTCATTTTGGTCCTCAGCTCTTGTTAGTGTTGATATTTACTCCAGCCTGTGCATGTGATACATGGCCTGAGTTTGCCAAGAAGTTCTTGTCTAGCAGTATATTTAAATCTTGCACCATATACACAAGAGACAGGTACACAAGGCATGGCCAGAAAGCAGTGACTTAGCTACAGCTTATCTGTGCACGCTCTCTCCATTTACAGAACAGAAGAGTCCCTTTGGATTTACATGTTTATATATATGTCAGCCTAAAGATCATCAATGATCCCCTTTCTAACATATTTTGACCTAGAGTGAGGAAAAATAAAGAATCCCAATAATGACATTATTCATGAAGTTCCCTGGCAAATATCTCTGCTCTTGATCAATATTGACATTTTTCCTAGTCCTTTACCTACTTTTCATTTACCACAATCTTAGTCATTGAGAGTGTTGCTTTCTGGTAAAAAGATGTTTTTTGGTGAACTATTGTGAGAGTTATAAACTCATTTGGCCTAACCAGAAACCAGATTTGGGGGAAACATGTGTTTCAATAGCTTCAGCCTTTGAATGGTAAAATACTGTGAGAACTGTTGGCTGAATTGATCCCTAGGGCACCTTTCACATTTTAATTGAGCCACTGACTAGGAACATGTGGGAAGGTCTTCATTAGTGGGAATAGATTCGCATGCCTGCGAGTGAATACAGATGTTGAAATTTGGGTAACAAGTAAATTAACTTTTTCCCTTTCATTTTAGGACACTTAGGTTCCCCCCTGTGAACTCTACAAGATTGCCTGGATGGAAGACTGACGACACTACTTACCAATAGACTGAAAAACTACACCAATAGCCTGGTTCAATTGAGATACTTGTTCAGGATTTTCTAAGTCCACCTTCTGTCCCATTCACCTTAGACTGTTGAAACTCCCTATCACTCTGATACACTGGAAGAGCTAGTAAATTGTAAATGAAGTAACACTCTGTTCCTCTTGACTTTTATTTTTCTTAGTGTGGGGCCTTTGGAAGGCACTATGAATTTGCTATTTTGATGTAGTGCTATAAGGTGGAAAATTGACCCTTCTGAATTTGCTATTGATGTAGTGTGATAGAAAATTGACCTCCCTGAACTGGCCCCTTTCCAGCCAAGGTTATCTGGTTTGATTGTATAATTTGCACCAAGAAGTTAAAATGTTTCATTACTCTCTGTTCTGCTGACAGGCAGAGAGTCACATTGTGTAATTTAATTCCAGTAAGTCATTGGATGGCATCCATCATCAGAGTTGTTGGATGATGGTAACAGTCTAAGGCACCCAAGACTAAAAGGCATTACCGATGTTCTGTGATCCATCAGGTTTCAGCACATGCTTTACATTTCTTTGCCTCCAAATTAAAGGATTTATTATGATGTTTATATTTTCCCTATTGTTTGAAAGGTTCTAGTTATTACTTTAATGGTGTCGGAATTATTGTATTTTCATTAGGAATTTAATGGAACTTATCTTCATTAGCTTTAGCTGGTATTTCCTTACCAGGTTGATATGACTTAATTGTCAATATTATGGTCAACTTTAGTAGTCTTAGTTTTGATTTGTGCCTTTGATTAATAAATATAAATCTTTTACACAATAAATATTGTTTTCCTCCAAAATAACTGTGTTTAAATTAACTTTTAGAAAATCTGCTGGAATGATTGTCTTCCACTGAAAAAGCTAAGCCCCACATTTCTACTTGGAGTACAGTTTTCAGATGTGAAATGTAAGGCTAAGGTCTTAACTCTGTGTCATTAAAAAAAATTAATGTCCCTGTTTGAAAAACTATTCCCTGTGAAAAGATTACATTCCATGTTATGAAATATAACATGCTTAGCATTCTCCTAGAGATCAGACTTTTTTGATTGTATAATTTACATCAAAAAGTTGTATAGGGAGGGATATAGCCTATATCTTCAGGATAATAAGGAAATGAATAATTGTTAAAATTTGAGTTGAAGTGGGGGGAATTATATTTTTTGAGTCTTATATCAGTTAGAACCTATCTCATCTCTGATTGCCACACAGTCCTTGAATTGAAGAGGCAGTCAGTTATAGTTATAAGTAGATAAAAACTAGTTAGTTAAGAATAATGAATCTTGCATACATGTTTTTAAATGCTTGGAGTTATTGCAGAAAAAGGATATTCTCCACTATAACATTTGTCAGGGGTTACTTGACATAAGAAGATAAAGTGGTAAGAAAATAAAGTTGGAAACTAGTGACTCCAAATGCAGTAAATCAGATCTTTGGCTATTGGCATTAGTGAAAGTAAAGAAGCAAATATTTAAAAGATTATCGGAGCGATTTTCAGACAGGCATTTTTCACCATAATGTCATTGAAGAACTTTTAAAGTTTTTCTTTAAGTAGGAGTTTTTTGTTTGTTTGTTTTTTTGAGACAGAGTCTTACTCTGTTGCTTGGGCTAGGGTGCCGTGGCATCAACCTAGCTCACAGCAACCTCAAACTCCTGGGCTCAAGCAATCCTTCTGCCTCAGCCTCCCGAGTAGCTGGGGCTACAGGCATGCACTACCATGCCCGGCTAATTTTTTTCTATATATTTTTAGTTGGCCAATTTATTTCTTTCTATTTTTAATAGAGACGGGGGTCTTGCTCTTGCTCAGGCTGGTTTCAAACTCCTGACCTTGAGTGATCCTCCCAACCCGGCCTCCCAGAGTGCTAGGATTATAGGTGTGAGCCACGGCGCCTGGCCAAGTAGGAGATTTTTTATAAAAAAGTTTCCCCTTCATTATTAAAATGAAAAAAACTGTAGGAAAGTAGAAAGAGAGAGAGAGAAAAAAAAAACACCGTGCATCACTCCTCAGGTAGGTTGATTGTTTTAATTTTTAAGATGGGTTTAGTTTGGATAGCCAGTTATAAAAGTCCCTTATAGCTGACGTGTGCATGCGCATACTGGATTGGAAGCCTTAAATCTCAAAGTAATGAGGAATCTGGTTTCACCTGATTATAACTGGCGCAAAGAAAAGTTCATGTGTCTTTAATAGCTTGCTAATTAGAAAAGCTGGTTAGAGAGAGGGTTCACTAGACCCAGAGAGATCCAGTTTCCAGCTGGCACAGTAGATCTGTCTGCGCCTTTTCATGGCAACACCCCTAAATGGCAGTGGAAGTGAATTTCCTTGGAGGTGCAGGCCTGGGCTCTGGACTTTGAAGTTTCATAAAAATCGAGAATTTTTTACATTTGTCTCCACGATATATCCATATTTAAATTTAAAATAATTCTCCTTTATTTTTGATGTTCCAAATGTATCCCGCGGGTTGCCTTATTTGCAGGCACCAGGTTGCTCACTGCAAGGCAGCTAGCTCCTGAACTTCATTTTGAGCAGCAGAGATCTCTAGGTATATTTTCTGAAAGTGTGGAAAGCTTGGTAGCTTTCCATGGCCTATTCCATGTGGGTTGTTGGGTTTATGTTCTAGGCATCAAACTTTAGTGGAAATAAATACCTAACACACGCTATAAATGCCATTTCTGGTTTTCCTGAGAGCTCACAAAGAATCTTTGAGACTTGATGTTTTTAACCTCCTGTCAGAATCCAAGTTGGTACCTTGTCAGTGATGTGGCCAAACAAATCTGTTAAATTATGAGATGCGAAGCAACGTATGCATTTTCTTGTGAAACTAGGGAAACTTTGATTCCTTTGGACTATTCTGTGTGGGCTTTTGTTTGTGTTTGTAGAAAAAAAAAATCTAAACCAAGATATAAATGCCATTTCTGTTTTTCCTCGCAGCATACATATGATACTTTGAGATTTGATACCAGTTTGCTGCTTGTCTGCATTGACACTTTGTGATGTGGCAAACAAAAACTTCCTAATTAAAAAAAGGAAAACAAAAGGCTAATATATCAGAAAAGAATATATAAACTGAAACAGCTACAGGGAAATGAGACTTTCATTTTTAAGTTATCAGTTTTAAACTTTGCCCAGCTTGCTTGTGAGAGAGAAGCCATTACGATGTAATTATGGCTTTTCTATTAGGTACCCCTACCCCATGGAGCTTAGTAGAGTCAGGCACTTGTAAGAGCACAATAAATGCTAATGGATAAATGAATGAATGAGTGAGTCTAATTATAATGGCTCTTTAATGTTCTGTGTGAAATAAGATGTTGATCTAAATGTCTCATTCCATATAAGGCACCATTTATGTAATAGAAACCACCTGCCCAGTCAAAAACCACTTAACCTCAGAAAGCACTGCTAACTTCCTCCAGGTCAAATCACTTTTTGCCGCTTCTCTTTCTTGAACTCTTTGCTGCATTTGATGCCACAATTTTTTTCTTGCTTTGACCTTGTGATATCCTGATTTTCTTCCCTTTTATTACTCTTTCTAGTTTGCTTTGCTGTTTGAGTTTCCTTCTACTTTTTAAGTGTGGCTGCACGGAAGGGTTTGTATTTGGCTTTCTGCTCTTAGATTATGCTGACCTTATCTTGAAAAATTAAATGCAGATGATTATCATGCCAAACCTCTTACTCTCAAGTTGTGCACTTTAGTTGCGTGTTGGTCATAGCAGCTTCTTTGTATTCCTCTCCTCCTCCAACACCTAAAAGCTTAGAATTTTGAACACTTAAAAATTTAAAAACATTCCTCATATAACATCTAGTGCATGGACAATACACATTCTTCCATGTTGACTGAGCTGGCTCCTTCACCAGGGATGACATGGTTTATGAGAATTGGGGAAAATAGGTCAGCTGCTCTAAGAGTTCATTATCATTGGCTATGCCACATGTATTTATCAGGTGAACATGAGTTCTTTGGGATTGTCATACTTGATCTGGTGGTATTCTCATTACCAGATCCTCAAAGTTTTTATTTAAGAAAATATAGAAGTGGTGAGTTGGAAAGGCTCTTGTCTCTTCCAACAGAAGTTTCTCACCACCTTTTCTGGGTAAACACAAGCCTAGTAGCAACATCCACGAAGCAAATCAAACTGACATGGCACTTGCTTGGATATAAGCAATCAATTCACAAATGGGTATATACAGCATATAGTAGGTGATACAGTTACTCAGAACCACCACTGGAAAGGTAGAGTAACTACATTATGTACACCATTAGGGCAACACTCCTAGGGTATAGCGTAAGAGATTCTGAGAGTTAAAGGATGGCATGCACACATTTTTCCCTCTGTCCAGAAAGGCCATGTACTTATTTAGCAGGAAAATGACATTTAAGAGAAGTTAGGCCATTTGAACATACCTTTTTTTTTTTTCTTTCATTTTTCCTATTCAGTTTCTTTTCCTACAGAGGGGAGGTAAGAGAACTAACATTTATTGAGCATTTAATAATTGTTTCAATTGACTACCCTCTGTGGGGAGGTAGTGCTATTCCCATTTCCCAGGAAAACAACAACAAAGCTGAGGATTAGGCTAAATAACTTATTCAAGGTCACACAGCTAGTAAATGGCAGATCTAGGATTTTTTTTTTCAGAATATTATGGGGGTATAGACACTTTGGTTATATAAATTGCCTTTGCACTCCCCGAGTCAGCTACAAGCGTGCCCATCCCCCAGACAGTGTGCACCATACCCATTAGGTGTGAATATATCTATCCCCTCCACCCCACTCCAACCTGCCTGACACTCAATGAATGTTACTTCCATATATGCACATAAGTGTTGATCAATTAGTACCAATTTAGTGGTGAGTACATGTGGTGCTTGTTTTTCCATTCTTGTGATACTTAGAAGAAAGGATTCCAGCTCCATCCAGGATAATACAAGAGGTGCTAGTTCACCATTTTTTATGGCTGAGTAGTACTCCATGATACACATATACCACATTTTATTAATTATGTAACACTATTTACATTATGTAACACTAGTTCATAGCCAGAGAACAGAAGGAGGGGGAAAAAAGATTATCTTCTCCAAATATCTTTTAATCAGTCTTTATTGAATATGAAATCTTTAAAAAGGAAACCTTCATGAAAAAATATACTATTTTCTCACAATATGCCCTTATAGGGTGTTAGTATACAATACGCACATATTAAAAACAAACAAACCCTGTGGCTACTGCTCACCCCCACATCACTTAACCAAGGAAATGATTATAAATAGGTAATCACAGTCTAAACATTAACTCCTCTCATTTTCTTTCTTTTTTTTTTTTTACAAAGAACATTAACAAAAATTATTTACCAATCTTCAAAATTATCTTGTAAAGTAGTAAGTAAGGGTAAGGTGATCATATTCCCAATTTACAAATTAATATTGCTAATTGAACTTGAGAACGGTTCCATGACTCCAAGATTCCACATTATGCTAAGTGTCAAAGTCAGGAAGAAACATAAGCCTTTAGTTTCTTAGTCCTATGCTCTCCATCCCCTTGTCTTAGTTCTGGAAAAACTTTAGTTCTTACTAGTCAAGTTATTCTAGCATATACCCTTCTAGGAATGTGTCTAGCAAAGTTTTCTTATACACAACTTCTCAAGCAGATTTTCTGAGGCAGAGATGGAATTATTTCCTTTAAGAAGACATCATTCCATTGGCTTCTATGACTGCTGAGTGGAACAACACTCACAGGGAGGTCAGAATCATGAGCTGGTACTTGTGAGGTGATATTTTCCCTTTGGCAAATGACAGCATTTCTCA